TTAAAACGAGAGCAGCCATTTGAGTATGTGGGATTAATTTTTGATGCTAGTGCTTGCTATGTAACGGGAACCAAATACTTAAGAGAAAATGACGACTTCTAGAAGGGATTTCTTCCTCCTGAGATTTTAATACCTTTTAGTGTGGGATCCTGCAAAGAATTCCTAACTCACCTACCAGAGAGTTTAGCATAACACAAGTGGTGACAAGCAGGATTGTGACAGATTAAGGGTTGTCCTTGTCTTCCCCACCCACCCTGTGCTGACTTCTAACTTTCAGGCACCTGCAGGCGAGCAATAAGTTTCCATTTGGTGATTTGCAAAGGGGAAAATGTTTGTATATTATCAGCACAGTGCTGTGGAAAGAGCTGCTACAGAAGCTTAAAAATAGGCATAGTGCTGAGAAATTTGACTTAATTGGAACCTATGAAATTGATTGCTTATCTGTTTGCTTCTTCAGAAAATTGATTGTTGGAACTGATCTCTCTCACACACACACACACACACAAACGCACACACACACGTATCACCAGCATAACCTAAATTAACGGCTCATACTTTACAGTATATTTCTTCTCCAATTCTGATGCCTGCTCCATTCCTCTCCATGTTAGCGTTGGGGAAGAAGGCTATCTGTTGTTTGTATTTAGTGCTAAATGTATATTGATACAGTACTGAATTTTCTGCACCGGCTAAAAGCAGGTCCACTTTGACATGCAATTTTTTTGTCTGTATCCGTCCACCCACCTACCTGTTATGTATTGCCTACTACTGAGCTACCTTTTAAGGAACGAATGGAGAACTCTAGAAATTTGCACACTGTTTTTGTAAATTTTGCATTGACCTAATTAAAGGATTACCTTCATAGGCAACTTCAAATGTCTCTTGAACTGAATTCTGTGTAGGCAGGTTTTCATAGCAGATCTTACAGCAGATCTTTCAGCAAACTCCAGTGTGCCGTCATGACATTTAATAGTCTCAGTGGGGAAAGAGCAATCCTTTCTGAACCACATCTTCACTTATATTGTTTGTAGCGGGCAGATGGATAGAGAGCTGTGGGAATAACACACATTTCTGAATGACTGGCAGCTCTTTATCTACCAAGATTGGGAAGGGCATTGAAATTTACATCGCCTAGGGTGGAACTTGAAACCTGCCACCCTGAATTGCTTGTACAATGATGCAATCTGCATTTTGGAACTTGTCTTAAACAGTAGAGCCAGCTGCTATATCTAGCAGCTGTTTGTATGTGTGCGTGCGTTTCTTCTGCAGTCCTCCAGCTCTGTAATGCCTGACCAGATAAAAAGACCTACAGGGCTTGAAAGCAACAGCCTGTTTGTGAGACTTTAATGGTCTAATAATGCTGTTGCCCAACTTTGTTTAATTGTTTCTGTTTTCCCCAAGGACAGTGATTTATCTTGCAAAATACATATAGATAGATAGATAGATAGATAGATAGATAGATAGATAGATAGATAGATAGATAGAACAGTGTCAATGTGGTGTCCCCTCAAAATAACGCAACACACAGCCATTAATGTCTAAACCGCTGACAACAAAAGTGAGGACACCCCTAAGTGACAAGGTCCAAACTGGGCCCAAGTCGCCGTTTTCCCTCCCTGGTGTCATGAAACCTGTTAGTGTCACAAGCCTCAGGTGTGAAGGGGGAACAGGTGTTATCGCTGTCACTCTCTCAGACTGGTCACTGAAAGTTCCACATGGCACTATCTGAGGATCTGAAAAAATGAATTGTTGCTCTCCATAAAGATGGCCTAGGCTATAAGAAGATTGCCAAAACTCTGAAACTGAGCTGCAGCACGGTGGCCAAGACCATACAGCGGTTTAACAGGACAGGTTCCACTCAGAACAGGCCTCGCAAGGGTCGACCAAAGAAGTTGAGTTCCCGTGCTCAACATCAGATCCAGAGGTTGGCTTTGGGAAATAGATGTATGAGTGCTGCTGGCATTGCTGCAGAGGTTGAAGGGGTGGGGGGTCAGCCTGCCATTGCTCAAACCATACACTGCACACTGCATCAAATTGGTCTCCAGGGCTGTCATCCCAGAAGGAAGCCTCTTCTAAAGAGGATGCACAAGAAAGCCCATATACAATTTGCTGCAGACAAGCAGACTAAGGACATGGATTTCTGGAACCATGTCCTGTAGTCCAGTGAGACCAAGATAAACTTATTTGGTTCAGATGGTATCAAGTGTGTGTGGCGGCAACCAGGTGAGGAGTACAAAGACAAGTGTGTCGTGCCTACAGTCAAGCATGGTGGTGGGAATGTCATGGTTTGGGGCTGCATGAATGCTGCCGGCTACAGTTCATTGATGGAACCATGAATGGCAACATGTACTGTGACATATGGAAGCAGAGCATGATCCCCTCCCTTTGGAGACTGGGTTGCAGGGCAGGATTCCAGCATGCTAACGACCCCAAACACACTTCAAAACGACCACTGTCTTGCTAAAGAAGCTGAGGGTAAAGGTGATGGACTGGCCAAGCATGTCTCCAGACCTAAACCCTATTGAGCATCTGTGGGGCATCCTGAAATGGGAAGGTGGAGGTGCGCAAGGTCTCTAACATCCACCAGCTCTGTGATGTCGTCATGGAGGAGTGGAAGAGGACTCCAGTGGCAACCTGTGAAGCTCTGGTGAGCTCTTGCCCAAGAGGGTTAAGGCAGTCCTGGAAAAGAATGGTGGCCACACAAAATATTGACACTTTGTGCCCAATTTGGACCTTGTCACTTAGGGGTGTACTCACTTTTGTTGCCAGCGATTTAGACATTAATAGCTGTGTGTTGTTTTATTTTGAGGAGACAGCACATTGACACTGTTATACAAGCTTTAGACTCACTGCTTGACATTGTAGCCATTTCTTCAGTGTTGTCCCATGAAAAGATATACTAAAATATTTATGAAATGTGAGCGGGGTGTACTCACTTCTGTGATATACTGTATCCAAAGAGACCGATGTGTAAGTGTATATTCAACAGTTCTTGCCACTGACATACATTTCATGCTCTGCTGTTCAGTATTCAATGCCTTCTGCTTCTGAATATAATCAAGAATTTGGAATAATGTGGTAAAAATAACATGGTTACCTGCAGTGCGTTACATTTTTGGATGGCAAGTGATAACATTGATCTTTTTTTTTAAAGTAACATAACAGCTTCTGTCAAATCATACTTTTAGGGTAATGAGAACAGTTTGTTGTTAAGGATGAAGTTAAAATGAAGCACTAATGGGTAAAATTGGCAAGATGCTTTTGAACGCAGACCAGTTTTATGAACTACTTGTCCATATTGTAACGGGTAATGAGAATGAATTACCTTTTTAAAGAAATCATTCCAGCTCTGAATCAGACCATTTCTAAAAAGCAAGAGCCTAGCAGAGAAAACGTCACTTCTCCCACTAATACATATTGGGGGGGGGGGCAGGATATTAGGAAAATTTAGAAAATAGTTTTGCCAAATAAATGACATTACTGTCTTCAGAATTAAACGGTTGTCTCTCAAAGATCATGAAATTCACAACCTGTTGTACTTCTGGCTTTGGCCATCAGCAATGTCCACAAAGGGGAGATTCTTATTTCAAAGTAATATTTTTGGGAAAATATTTCAACATCCATAGAGCATCTGCTCAAGAATTAATTTCTGTTTCTTCTGCAGCCAAAACGGGATCCCGCTTGGATAGAAAAAGACACTGTGAACACTGCAGATAAGGTAAATGGCACACTGTTGCAGAAACTCTGCTCCTTTCTCTCACTTTTTTCACCCCTTATCTTGGGACTGGGACTGGGGAGATGGGAAGGTTGCCGCTCTAAAGGATTTGAATGTAGGCTGGTATTCATCCTTCTGTTTGTGAAGTGAGATACTCTGTTTCTGCTCTTAATTCTCTCTGAACCCAGGTGTGGAAGTACAGACTTCTGTTGCTTTAGAAGAGAGGCTAGGAAGGAGGTGTCCGTTGCTTGGGAATTCTAGCCCAAATTTGGAGGACGTGATCCAAATTGAGTCCTGTAGTCCAAAAAGGCAACATTCCCCATTCTACAGAAGCTAGGGAGGTGGTCATCCCATCTCAGTGTCAGGTAGCTTGTGAGGGTGTCACTAACACCCATTCAGATTTCTGTTACATAAATGAAACAGGTAGCAAAACCAATGAGATATGTTCTACAGTTCTGTCTTTAGCACTTAAAAAATTGCTGGTACATCAAAATTGAGACTTCGGGGAATCAGACCCCACTTTTGTTTCTGTATCGTACATTTTTCTTCATTTTGTGTCTTTAAAGGGACAAACTCTTTTTTGTTTCAGAGATACTGTGGTTTTATGAATTATGTCAGCTCCAGAATCATAGGTTGATTATATATTTAATTACCTGAGAGGAAGCATTCTGTTTGGAAGACACATGTCCTAGCAAGCAGCATTTTCAGGGTTCTGCATGGTAGCTGTACTTTCAAGCTTCTACCCACAGTCATGAGGACAAGATACTTTTAGAAAAGCAAAATGCTCCATATTCATTTATGAGTTTCCGTGGCAGGCAAATGATATTTGAGCTGTGGGAATAATAGACATTTCTAATATGCGTCCATAAGCCTCTGAGAGAGCTTTTATATTTTCCCACTCAAGAAGGATTGCTGTTTGATTTGTGAATTTAGTACTGCTTTTAGCATTGCAGAAACCACTCTGAATCTGTTCTTCCCATGTGCTCTTCTAAAGAACTTTCCTTATATGGGTTAACCTTTTGGCTCACGACAGGCCCAGGAACCTTAGTAGTGTTTGGTAGTGCTTTTTTGGAGTAGCTGAAGCCCATCCTGTGGTGAAGGTTTAAATTGCTTTGCCGAAATGGAATCGGGTAGTGCCCTGTAGAACTTTTTTCCCCACTAAAAAATACAATAAACTGAGGCTTGTGAAATGTAATAGGTGTGGCTTTTGTGCAGAAAAAGTGAAACCGAAATATGAAAGCTGCGAAGTGCTTTAAATTGGCTTACCACAAATGTTTTGCTTCAAGGGAGGGCAGGAAGTTCTGTTTTCTGATCCACTTACATGTTTCAATCTTGACTCTTTGGCTTGGCTTGGCTTTTGTCACCTGTCTCAGTGGCTGGTTCTAAGTGAAGTGGAGCATGAGCCCGCGGATGGTGCGCCCACAGCCACCAGCCATGCTCTCTTAAAAGAATCCAGAGTATCTGCTGGAGATATGCTGCTTCAACTGGGTGGGGATGATGGAGGTGGCTAAGGAACCCAAGTTTCCTCGTATCTTTGCTCTTCTGGCCCTATGGCTCCATGGGAAACGTCGTGCCGACCGTTGCAACCTGCCACTGCTTTCTTCCAGCAGCATCAGCAATCCGGTCAGTACTTCAGCCTGCCTTGGCAGGCAGGGCCACCTTTTCTAGCTGTGCGTCCTGTCTTTTAAGCGGTAGCAATGAACCAGCTTCATGGATGAATAGTAAGCTGCCTCCCTGGGCAGTTCTCCAAGGGAACTCTCAGCTGGATTGCAGATCTTTGGGACATGGCCTCTGTTCCGGTCACCTGGATGATCCAAACCAGAGCTATTAGATTGCCCAGGCAGGATAACCAACGGCTAAGGAGTCTGGGAGCAGTCAGTAACTTTTCAAAACTCTGTTCTAAAAGGTGTTGCATTAGCTGTCTTGCCGGAGCTCAGCAGGTCTGTTTCCATTTTGTACCAGAGTGAGAGGCTGATAAATGAATTCAAGGGATGCTAACTTTGCATTGCATAAGAAAAGAGGATAGAAATAGGAAGAATTAACCAATCAGGAAGTGCTTGGTTCAGCTGACCATCTAGAGTTTGTGCTGCAAAGCTCCTTGTTTTTGCAAATCGGTGTGGTAATTCACAAAAAAAACCTCTCTGAAACTCTAAAATTTAGATTCTAAATTATTTTGTTAAGCCAGTTCTTTTCCCCCCCTTTTTTCCGGTTCTTAATGTTGCCATCTTGGATAATATTAATTATAATAATTGCATTATGCTAGTTATTCTTCTACATTGTTTTAATGTGTTTTAATTTTTGTAAGCCCCCCCGAGTAGACGTTTGCGAGAGGGGCGGGGTAAAAATTGAATAAATAAATAAATAAATAAATAAATGAACATTATTCACTAAATCTTTCAGTTGTTGCAAGCGGATAACTCCTTGTCAGAACATTGAACACGGGGGATTAAAAAACATGACCTGATTTCCTGCAAACAAGGACCTTTAATTTTTTTTTTTTTGGTGTTTCGGTGTTTTTGGTTTGTTTATTTTTTTACCTGTGGCTGCTGGTGAGTAGCCTTTAGCCTTGCAGAAATGACTTCTGCTTCTTTGCTTGCTTGCTTGCTTGCTGGAACCCAATGATCTGTCAACCAGAGCCAGGTGGAAATGACAAATGCCAAAAGTTTACTGAATTTTGAGCCCATTGACATTTTTTTAAAAAAATACTGGAACAGAATGGGATTGGGACTGCATCTTTATTTTTCTGGCATAATTTGGTCACCGAGAGGGAATAATTTTCTTCCTCAGATCGTCCAAAACCCTTGCCAATCTACTTCATATACTCTGCCAGCTGGTCCCCATTACCTCTCTGCCCTTTCCTTTATCTTATGAAGTTGGATCTGCTTTTGGGCCACTTCTGGTCAAGCACTATGAGACTGATGGTGGAAGGGTTGTAGCTCACCAGTGAAGAACTCACCTTGCATACACACTTCCAGGTTCTATCCCCAGCAGCTCCTGATGGGCCTGGGAAAGATGAATCTCTGAAACTCTAGAAAGCTACCATCTATCAGTACTGTATAGGCAATGCCCAATTATTTGAGTTGCTATACGGCAGGGATGGGGACTCAAGTTGTTGGATTCACTGTCAAGTCAGACTTCAGTTGCACCAATGATTCGACTCGACTCAGAACCCACTAACCCCTCCTTTTTTTTCTGGAGAAAAAGTCTTATTTTTAATAGAGTCTTCATCTTGGGGTTTGGAACTCAAGATTTGGTACCAAAGACACAGATTCAGACTTGGGACTCTGACCCAAAGACTCGCCAATACCCTTGCTATAAGGTAGCCTCTTTCCAAGTTTGCTGGGGGTTTTTTAGTGTATGACTCTCAAACGAGAGAATAGAGACTCTTCAAAACAGGAGTAAGGAACTTTTGTCCCTTCATATGTTTTGGATTTCAATTGCCACAGCCTCTTAGACTTTGGGCCAGTGTCCTGGGGAGCTAAAGTCCAAAATCTCTTGGTGGGGTTGGGGGAACAAAGGTTTCAACAAACAGATGCTACTTTCATCTAGTACTTGGGAATTGTTAATGTCAAGTGATGAATTGCAGGCGTCATCACAGATAGAAGTCTTGTAATACTTGTCTGAAAACCAACAATGGCTGAAATCCAGTAGTAAGTCACAACAAGAGCAGGTCCATTGAATCAATGGAATTTACAGAGCAGTTGACTCACCAGATCCCTACTGATTTAATGGGACTACTTTAGTTGCAACGAACTGCTGGATATTACTCAGTGTGTCACATTCATTGTCAGCTAAATATTGAGCTGCTGATTACAGAGTTTACATTAGTTGCTGTTATTTCATGTACGAACCAGCTAAAATATGAACCAGCCACCCAGAGACCTTTGGGTAGTGTGGGCAGCACATAAATTAAATAAATAAATAAATTAGACAAATTCCTGGTTGACTCAGCTATTTCTGTGCATGTTTACTCAGGGAAATTAATTTGAGTTAAGTGGTGCTTAACCGCATACAAGTATAAATCTATAGCCCCGTACCCTCCAGAGTAGACCTTTGATCTAGATGGGTGGGGTATAAATCTAATAAAATACATAAATAAAATAAAATCCCCTTTTTTAAAGTATGTAAAGTTTGGCCTCTTGACTTAAAATAATAATAGCTGTGTATGTAATTGGGGTGGTTGAGGTTTTGAAGTTTTTTTTCAGTTGACATGTTGAAAAGGAAAAGACTGAATAAGAGGAAGATTGATTCAATAAAGGAAGCCATGCCATGGCTTTGTGTTTACATGAGCTATATGGGTCTGGTAAACATAGAACCTTTGGGAGATAATCAGTTCATAGAACCACCATAATATGGACGCAACATGATGGCACATAGCAACAGCAACAGCTGACAGGTTAACATGAATGTGCCTCATAGTTTTGGAATGCGGCTTTCATCCTGTGTCAGAGGATTGGGTAGAGTAATGTACAGCGGCTGGTAGGAAGATTGTGTTAATGCTGATCTTTTGCCTTTAACCAAAACACTATGACTTCTTTAACCTATACTGCAAATTAAATAAAACAATACCAGATTAAGAGAGAGATCCTCTTCTCCCTGCTGTGCTAATTTCCTACTTCCAGGACAATTGTTCTGTTGTAGCATATTTTTTAAAGAACTGATTTCCTTACCTTCTCTTGTAATACGATACTAGCCATTCATTCCATCACTTCGGATCAGAGCTGGGAAAGCCATCTGCCCTGCTTGGCCCCATCTTGAAGAGCTGCTTCCAGTCGGGCGAGATAAAGCCTCTCCCAAGCTGGTGCTTTCGAGGGGCTTGGGGCTGAACTGTTGGACAGCATTGCCAAAAGTCAGGGATGACAGAAGATCTAGCCAAAAATATCGAGAGGGTGCCAGCTTAGGGAGGGCTGAGTTGGGTCATTCTTAACTAGGAAAGTATAAGATGGCTTTACAGCAGGGATGAAACAAATTTCTGAGAAAAGTCTATAGCTACCCGCCCTTACAGTCATATGCTCCCTCCAGGATCAGAGGCACCATGCTTCCAAACAGCACTACTTGGGGGGCAACCAGGTGGGTTATTGTGATTTCCCAGAGGCATCTGGTTGGTCATTGTGGAACTTGCGTGCTGGACTCAGTAGATGGCTCTCAGCTCTTACCTTGCAAGGTTCCTTCATTTTGCTATTTGCTTTTCTATCAATTAAACGCAACCAAATATCTGTCACATTTTGATAGAAAAGCATAATTCAAATCATGACAGATGCAAGCATTGGCATCTCCTCAATTTTCCCCCGAAGCGAGGAGGAGAGGTTGTGGGAAGGGGGGGTGGGGGCAGAGGCTGCCAAGAGACGCCAGAGACTTCTGTTTCTCGGGAACTGCTCCGAAAGCTGAACAGATGGCTCGGAGGGTTTTCAGGGACCATGTGCTAGCTCTCCAATGTGCCAGCCACGCCAACTGTGTTTTGCAACAAACCAGGGTGTTTATTGTGATGTGGTGGGTAATTTTGGTGGCACCAACATTCCCTGTTGTTGCCACCCGCAAAAAATGTAGTGCAAATAGATAACAAAAATGTGTCGCCGCTCTTAATATAGTGGGAGGAGGAGGGGAGAGAGTGAGAGAAAATGCACATATGATATTGGGTGAAAATAGCAAATGTTTGCAGGCCACAAAGCTTCTGACTTGAACATTTTCCTGCTGTCAGAAGTATAACACTTTGGGGGGGGGGACAACAGTATTGTGCCCCCTTTGCAGTATAAACTTTAATGTGCTAGAGTTGTTTTGTATGGAGTAATACGTTTGGCTGACAAATGTATATATCAAACACACGTGGTATATTTTGCATTAAGAAGAGGCTTTGGGAATGTTATTAGAAATGTAGATTAGAAAATTCACCAATATAAGAATTACATGTCTCATTATTATGATACAGAAAAGGCAACCAGTTCTTTTTTAAACAAGGTTCTGCTGAGAGTCAGTTGAAAGACTGCAGGAGTGGAGAGGATTAATTGTACGAGCCCCTTCTCGTAGACCTTCAAAATATCTCGAGTAGGGGTGTACATTATCTGATCATTTCAGTATAGTGTAATAGCTTGCACTTATATGCCCTCTGAATGCCCAACTGCCTGGGAACAGCCATGCAGGTCTCTTCAGGGCACTGCTGTTGGCTGCCTACCACTGCTCAGAAAAACATACCATGGCCAGCCTGAATGCATTTTGCTGGGTGATGCTGGCATGACTGCCCAGGTGCTGCTGCCAACTCTTTTTCATTGTTGTTTAAGGAAGGCCAAATGTTTGACAGCAGGATGGGCAGTGAAAGTAAAGCTGACCTCAGAATGGACACTTCCAGGTTAGAGTCCCAATCTTCTGCCTAAGGCAAGGGAGGGTCTTCCTTTCTCCCTTCACTGGAACAGTCACCTCTTTTAGCAGGTAGTGTTTGCATATTCTGTACCTGAACAATGGTGTCCTGAGCATTTTAAAATACAAGGTTTCTCAGGTCTTTGGGATTTGCTCCAAAACAGCACCTTATTCTTACTTGCATTTGCATAAATAATGCATCCCCTGTATTGTTGTTCACCAAGGGAAGTGTGCACAGCTTCTTCTGCCTGCCACAAATGCTTCCTTCTGTCTTCTCTGTATTAGAAATATAAACTGAAATTGGTGTGTCCCTTAACTATAATCGAGTATTCCTGTAATGCTTTCCCTAAGTCCAGAAAGTGCTGCATGTTGCACACGTGCCATCACAATGCAGGCAGTTTACAAGAAGGGTATAAAGGTGAGTTTCATAGGTGAACACCAGTGTCTTGGTGGCTTCTGGAGTTTGCAAGACAGCTGTTTTACCTGTGCCGAAAACCACAGCAGCACTTGTGGGTGTGTTCTGGTGTTACGGAAGACAGCCGATCTTTCTGCTAACGCTATGGTTTCTTTTCTCCCTTTCATCAGAAGGAAGGCTCTGTCCAAGAATACACCATCACATACCTTGTGAAAGAAGGGTCTGAAAAGGCTGATCCCTCACAGTTTCAGCTACTGAAAGTCCTTGGACAAGGATCTTTTGGCAAAGTGAGTTGACCTTTGGATGGCCAGTAGGTTGGTCCCTTGCAGAGTTGAAAAGGGAGATAGGAATGTGGTGTGATCCATTTTTGCCATCTCTTATAATGACTCTCAAGGAAACGATATACCATGTACAAAAAAAAATCTCCCTGCAATACTGCACAGGTTTTTGTAAATCTGGATACAGTGGTGCCTCGCTTGACGACGTTAATTCGTTCCAGCGAAATCGCTGTAAAGCGAAAATGTCGTCAAACGAAATAAAAACCCCATTGAAATGCATTGAAAACCATTCAGTGCGTTCCAATGGGCTGAATACCTGCTTGTCCAGCAAAGATCCTCCATACGGTGGCCATTTTCTGGTGCCTGTTAAGCGAAAAAGCAGTCCTAAAAACAGCGGGGGGGGCATTTTCTTCAGCCAGCAGTCATTTTGAAACCCGACGATCAGCAAACAGCTGATCGTCGTAAAGCGAAAATCGGTTCCCGAAGCAGGGAACCGATCATCGTGAAACAAACAAAAACCCATTTAAACCATCACTTTGCGATTGCAAATGCGATCACAAAAACTTCAACGTTAAGTGGATTCGTCGTTATACCGGGTAATTATCCAGCGGGGCACGACTGTAGTCTGCTGTTTGCTTGCTATGCATGAAAAGCAACTTGGGAGAACAAACTGAAACAGTGGCATGTTTGTATACACTTCCCATCTTTTTTCATCTACTAGAACGGTGGTCCCCAACCTTGGGCCTCCAGATGTTCTTGGACTACAACTCCCAGAAGACTTACCACCACCTCTGTTGGCCAGGATTTCTGGGAGTTGATGTCCAAGAACATCTGGAGGACCAAGGTTGGGCACCACTGTACTAGAAGGCTTGGCTCTCGTTTTGTTTCCATATTGTTGCCAGAAATTGCCTGCTAGTTTTGGGGCTTCTGCCTGTATGATAAGGAATAGAAGTGTAGGTTTCGAACCATCTCTAAATTCAGTAAAGTGTCTTTTGTGTGTTTAGCATATTCTATTATTAAGACAACCCCTTTGTGAGAAAACATTATTTTATACAATATAGTTGTATATATTGTATACAACTTTGGAGCATTACCTTTTCTTTTGCTGAGTCTTCCCCCCCCCCTTGGCCTTTCTCTGCACAGGTTTTCCTTGTAAGAAAAATCACCCCACCAGATAACGGCCACCTCTATGCCATGAAGGTCCTGAAGAAAGCAACTCTGAAAGGTGAGGAGGCTCTGCCAAGACCAGAGTGAGTCTGGCAACTGCAGCAGGAGGGATTTCATCCTTGGCAAACTTCTCCCAGGGCTCCCCTAAATGCAGAATTGATTGTCGTACCTAAGTTCTGGGTGACTACCGTATTTTTCCATGTATAAGACTATACTTTTGTCTAAAATCTTTAGACTAAAAATTGAGGGTCCTCTTATACATGGAAGCAAGCCAAGGAGAGACCAAAAACAAGTGGAAGGGAAAGCAGGAATCAAAGTGATCCTGCAGGGCTTTCTGCTTCCCCCCCACCCTTGCTAAGCCCCACTTAGATTTCTTAATTTTGGATTAGAAAAGTGGGGGGGGGCATCTTATACATGGGGGCGTCTTATACATGGAAAAATACGGTAGTTTGGGATTGAACTTCGTAGTTCAGGATTTGGGATGGACATGAAGGTTCAGGATGGCGCCTGCGCAGGTTTTCCGCAGGTGCTGCACGCTTCTCTCCCCTGCCTTCTCCAGGGGATCACCCACTCAGACAAGGAGGCCGGGCAGGGAAGCCCACACTGCTGCCAGTGAGTGGGTGATCACCCGGAGGACACCTGTGCTGGTGCTGTGCTGAACTAAGCCGAACCACTGTTCGTGCCTATATCTACTCAGGAGAGAACAAACCGTGTGCTTCCAGATATTATTGGACTACCTCCCTCTGGCCCTAATGAGCTTAGTGCCCCCCAAAATCGTAAGAGTTGTTGTCCAGCAACATCTGGAGGGAGCCCCTTTGCCCACCCTTGCTGCGACTGGCACCTGTTGCTTCTCCTTCAATGTGTTGCATCTTTAATTGGCCTTTCTGTCTTGACAGTGCGTGATCGTGTAAGAACAAAAATGGAAAGAGACATCCTGGTGGAAGTAAACCACCCCTTCATCGTGAAACTCCATTATGGTGAGTATAAAAACTTGTTTGCCTGGATCTGTCATGGAACGATCAAGATCAAAGCCAGGCCATCTCTTTTAACGTGGTCTATGGGATTTTAACCAAGAAAAGTTTTATATGAAATACAATATGTAATCCTCAGTTCTCTCCAATATTGCAGGCCCACCTACAAGCCACGAGAGCCAGTGTGGCATTATTGGAATAGGGCTTCTCAGTAGAACTCGGGGAACTGGGTTCAAATCCGTGCTGTGCCATGATTGCTCAAAGGGCGGTTGCAATGATAAACCACTCCTTGAACATTTCCTACACCTCAAAAGCCCTATTGGGGTTGCATAAATTGGAAATGAGCTGACAGCGACAACTTTCAGAAGCGACAACTGCTTCTACCTGGATCCTCCTGCAAAACAGGGAAAGTGAAACAAACTGGATTTTTTTTGTCCATAGTTTGTTTGCTTGTGATATGCAGACCAGAAAGTCTGGCTTGTTTCTCCCTTGTTGAGTGCAGATAATCATAAGGCTTGGTTCGTTTTGGATTTCTGAGTCTGAATTGTTTGAAGAAGCAGCAAGCAAGAGTTCCCAGTTTTCACATCACACTGAACAATTGATGGGTGGAAAGTCCAGAGTCAATTTACTGCTTGTGCTTGCAATGGAAGCTGTCAGGCAGCATTCCCAGCATGATGCTTGATGTATTATGCGAACGCCACAGTTATGCCTACTGGATAAAAGTGGAAGGAGCCTGTATGATAGGAGTTTTTTACTGCAAGGCAACACAAATTCAAAATATGGGTAGAAGTGTATGCTTGAAGTTGAAGGAAGACTTTTATGTTCAGATAGAGACAGGTCTGCTGCTGATAATGGGGAACCTGCATCCCATTCTTCCCCTTCCCATTTTTCAAGTGCAACTAAACTTACCCATATCCTGGCAGTGTGACGTTCTGACATTTCCTGTCTGCACTAATAGCAAGGAATGAAGTAGAGCAAAAAAGGGACCTGGATATTGCTGTTGCAAGGGTAGGGGACTTGATATGAGAGGCTGTGACTTTTGCCGGCAGCTATGAATATTATTTAGCGCCATCCTGGTGGAAGTAGAGACAACTAGTATAGTGTACAGTGGTTAGAGTGTTGGTCTGACACCAATCTCAGGAGAGTTGTTTAGTATAGTAAAGTGCACCACAGTAGGTCCACTAAATCAATGCACATTGGGTAAACCAGCTCCTCCACAGGTTCCAACGATTCAAATGTGCTTTTTCTAGCTGTATCTTATTTTAATATACTTAAAACTATAGTAGGCCCATTTGAATTGGTGGAACTTGCAGAGGGGTTGTCTCACTAAATCCCAGTGAATTCAGTGGGCCTATTCTAGTATGGTTGACTATGCTAAGCAACAGGATTTGGGCCTATGTATATTTACTGGGCTAGTGCAGATATAATAGCTCAGTGGTTTAGGTTATCTGGGTGCAGAGCCAGAGGTTGGGAGTATTGATTCTCTACTGTGCCTCCTTGAGAGGGCTGGACTTGATGATCCGTAGGGTCTCTTCCAGCTCTACAGTTTGATGATGATGATAATGTTTGCTTCCTGTTCAACATGGATAAACTTGAGGCAACCTTGGGGACAAATTTAAGAGCCAGTTCCTGGGATTGTTTTTTGAAACAGGAGTGTTCCACCTCCAGTGAAGGGATCATAATGGATGGCACAGAAGCCAAGGGGTCCCTTAACTCCCTTCAACTCTGTATCTGAACCGTAATTTCACAACTTGGCAACAAAAAGTCAAATGTTGTAGCCAGGCTGTCTGTGGATGGTGGGAGTTGTATTCCTACTATCTGGAGGGCACCAGTTGGAAGAGGGTGTCATAATGCCTGCCTTGCATTCGCTTGGGCATCTAAAAGTCACTCAGGTTTGACATAAATGTCACAGGTTTCTTCTCTGCCACAGGCAGGCAGAGGGAGGATCCTGATTCCTGTTTCTTATGTTGCATTTCAGCTTTCCAAACCGAAGGGAAGCTGTATCTCATCCTTGACTTCCTCAGAGGAGGAGATCTCTTCATGCGCTTATCCAAAGAGGTGAGTGCATGCCTGCCATGTTTGCCTTAGGCTGGATGAAAAAAGGAAGGAATGACACCGGGGATGCAGGCACTCGGCAAGGTTGAGGGTATTCTTATCTGGCATCCTTACCTTTTTGCAGGCAGCCTGTGAGGCCTCCCAATAAGACCATCAGACTAGGACTGGAGGGGTCCGAGTCTGAGTCTCAGCTAAGCCATGGAAGTCATTGCATTACCTTATCTTCTTCCAAATTCTCTGTCTAAACTACCTTACAGGCTTGCTGTGAGACTAAAGGGGGGATGAGAGATTGTATGCCACACTGACATAGTTTAAGGAAGCACAATATGTAGACAGTGGTATACATAATGGAGGCAGAGGTAGCAAGGATTAACATCTAGCAGTGTAGAAGGCAGGACACTGGGCTAACATGCGGTTGCCACAAATGCCCAGAGTCTGCACTGCTATTATTGGTCTGTGCTGCCCACCCACATAATAGGAGCAATACTGACCCAGGTAGGTAGCTCAGTTCTTCTAGTACTCTTACCATTGTAAAGATGTTGAGGAGCTAAAACTGAGGTTGTGTGTATTCCAGATTTAATGCAGTTGTGCCACACAAGCACATATATACTACACACAGAATACAGTGGTGCCTCGCTTGACGACGTTAATTCGTTCCAGCGAAATCGCTGTAGAGCAAAAACGTCATCAAACAAAATAAAAAAACCCATTGGAACGCATTGAAAACCGTTCAATGCGTTCCAGTGGGCTGAATATCTGCTCGTCCAGTGAAGATCCACCATACGGCAGCCATTTTCGGTGCCTGTAAAGCGAGGAATCCATCCTAGAAAACAGCGGGGGGCCATTTTCTTCAGCCGGTGGCCACTTTGAAACCCGACGATCAGCTGTTTGCTGATCGTCGTAAAGCGAAAATCACTTCCCAAAGCAGGGGACCGATCATCGCACAGCGAAAAAATCCTATTTAAAACATCATCAACGTAAAGCGGATTCGTAGTAGAGCGGGGTAATCGTCCAGCGGGGTACGACTGTATAACAATTCGCCTTTCATTTTTGAACCACGATCCCTGTTTCTAGCCCTGGAGGTGTCTAAAATAAATGAGATTTTAAGAATGTTGGATTAGCAGAAGACATTTTGCTCTCCCCAGTTGGCACTCGCACGATCCAAAGGTGGTTTGGTACGTTACTTGGGAAATGATTAAATTATACGATGACTATTAAATTGAATTAATAAATAAACAGTTAATCTACTATGCCTTGCAGAAGATGTGGAGTTCTCACTTTTCAGTAGATTGCTATTTTGGTTTGGTTTCCTGTAAAGATTTCTCTCCTAAGGAAGTGTTAGGGTTGCCTATGCAGTTGGGTCATTCCTATGAGAACAGAGGGGCAATGCTGGTGAAATCTCTCCAAAACCTGACAAAGGGGCACCTATGATCTATAGCAGAGATAGACTATAGGTGGGATAGACAATATTTGCACTTCTTGCATATCTACACCACAAAAAAAATGTATATAATTTTTTTAAAAAGCCTTTTTTTGCTCACAAAATCTCCTTGTGCCCTCTAGGTGGTGCTGTAGGACACAATTCTGCCAGGTTTTGAAGTGGGTCCCAGCATCCCATGCTCCTCCCCTCCATTTTCCTCAATATGTTTTTGGCCACTAGAAGGCGCAATGGAGCTTTTCCGGGGGGGGGTTTAAATCTGTTTCATAGTTGAGACTATTTTAAGCCATTAAAAAGTATTATTGACATTCTTTGCATTTTAAATTTTTAAATTAAGTTTTAAAATTTAAATATGCATATAAGCTCCATCGGTCATGCCCTCCCTTTAGTCCCACCCCCTTAGGACTACGGTCATCCTGCTGCCAGCAAATCTGAGAAATGGCCCTCAGTTTCTCTCAGATTGCCTGTCTAGGTGTAGCTTACAGGGTAGGATGTTCATGCATTTCCCTACATCACATAAGCAGCAGAAGCTGAATAAACTTCTACAAAATGATATACAGGATCCGCCCCGGGCTCAGCAGAGCCAAAGCGCAGCCTCTGTAGATTAGACATACAGTATTTAGAAATACAGGGTTTTATTCTTTGTCCGTGTACTCAAAATATACAACACAACACAGCAAAAACGGCAGATCTCTGGTTTTCGAGGAGATTTACAGTCTAAACTCACAGAGAGACTGGGAGTGGGAAGCGAGAACCGACAGTAATCCTCTTTCCAGACGAGCGGGGTCACATCATGTGCAGGCGGTCACATTTTGAGTAAGATCTGTGGGAGGAAAGCAGGAAGGTTGCAAGACTCCTCCTCACAGACTCTGCTGTAATGCAGAGGTGGGGGGAAATCACAAACTTGACAATATTTTTTCCAGCTTAAATTGTTCCTTATCTTTCAGATGTATTCTCACGATCTTACTAGGTTGCAGCCATATTTGCCATTGCTTCTGCATCCGTTTTCCTAAGAAACATTTTTTTTTCTTGGATGTCAAGTTTTGAGACACCTTTCAAAGAGTTTTAGCAGCAGGCCATGTTCATGCAAACCATCCGTCTTTCTCTGTCAAACAGAGCAAAAGGCTTAGGAAACAGCAACAGGCCATGTCTAACTCTTTGCCTATCTATTACGCCATAGCCTTGTATGCAGTTACTGGCTACCTGGAAGTAAGAGGAGGCGGACAGGAAGTGTAGGAAGGCCTCTGGTGGGGCAACAGGAAACTGTGGCAAGAACAAGGGAGCATGTGACGATCATTGGACAACAACTAGAACATCTTCTCATAAGAAAACACTCAAATCCGTTCTTCCTTCTCTCCTCCCTTCAGCCCCCCACCCACCCACAGCTGCTTGGCAACTTCTAAACTTCGCTTTAAAAACAGATGCATCTGCTGCAATAGCCATCTCAGAGTCTGAAACGAATTCGTTTCATTTAACTTGCCCATTTTTGCTTGTCAGGCCAGAATGCCAGTCAGTTTAACAATTTAAAGTAACCTGATTCATTGGAACTTTAAAAACATCTTAAACTTTGATCCAAATCCTGTTTGCATAAATCTGTGCTGGCAGAAGCCAGTGATGCTATCATCCAAGGCCAGTTTAATTTAATATAAATTAATTAAAAGTTTCCTGTCCCTCCGTTTCAGGTTCCAAGGCTCACTAGGGCTCCCTTTTGCCTGAAGGAAGCCTTTGGGAGCCTCAGAACACAGCGGTGGGGGCTGGAATCTTTAATAGTAAAAAAAATGCTGCTAGAGTACTGCCAGTGGTCCCAATCCGGGAGGTGGTGATCCAGCAGCTGTTGTTGTTGTTGTTTTTTTTTAACTGTTAAACGTTCACTCCCATTTCAGACTCCCCAAAAGTTGCACGGGGCAAAAATGAGAGCTCGAAGGAGTCTCAGAACCTGAAACTGGCTGGGTGGGGTTAGGAAGCTTTCAATTAATTTAAATAAATTTTGCCAGGGTCAGCTGATGACATCATCAGCTTCCACCAGTGTAAATTTACGTGAATAGGATTTTACCCGTTCTCTTGCCCTCGCCAGTCAGTGCACGGCTTATGGCCAGATTTCAAATCGTGGTGCTGCCCCCATCGATGTCACAAATCAGTGCCAGAGGGGCAGCCCCTTGCCAGCCAGTGGGGGATATGCTGGGGCTCTGGTGGCCGCCAGGAGGGGGTGGTCAGGCCTACGAAGGGCAAGCAAGATAGCTAGGTATATATAATAAAGTGGAAAAATACATAAATGTCAAAGCTGAGAATGACTCCAAGCATGTAGGACCATTTTTATTATTTTTATTTTTCAGCTTTGGAGAACAGATTCTGCAAGAACAGTGAATTATGTAAAAAAAAGAAATTAACTGTTTCTCGGCTACTGTAGAGATCCTGACTTTCTTCCCTCCACTGAATGAGTTTGGGGTGCTTTGACAGGAGCTGTTTTAAACTTGCCCCCCCCATCCCAGGAGTTATAGCCAGAGGACTATTGTTCCTTGCCAGCTAATCTATTAATGGGGTCCTGTACGCACTGCCTTCGCCATGGCTTTCTGTTTTGTATGACCTTCCGCCCACTGTGTTCTGTTCCCGCCAGGTGATGTTTACTGAGGAAGATGTGAAGTTCTACCTGGCAGAGTTGGCGCTTGGCCTCGGCCACTTGCACCGCCTGGGAATTGTGTACAGGGATCTTAAGCCAGAGAAGTATGCACCGCCTACATGTTTTGAGCTCATTTAGGGGGTTCTCTCAGGGCGCGTTCCTGAGGGGATGGAATGCATTTGGGAGAATAACTCGAGGAGGACAGCTCATGCTCATCGGGCTGCAAGACATTTTGCTTCTGAATGTTCCTGGAACTCAGTTCTGCCAGGGGCCACTGTGGGGTGGGTAGTGGAACCGGGCGGATGCACTGGAGCAGACAAGCTCTTTCTGAAACGGCTCCGGTGCTCCGTTTTTTTTATGCAGCCTCAAGACAGCTAAGAATCCATTTTTGGATCTTTATCTGACTTGGGGAAATAGGAGTGAATTGATGCTCAGTCCTGTGAGTGCCTGAAAGCATATTAGTCAGCCTTGAACCGTCAGAGCAACACTAGCTAATGCACAGTATGTGGGAGAGAGGTATATTATGCTTCCCCTGCCTCTTAGGGGGCCCTGGTCCATTCTCAATCATTAGTGTTGTTTGCTGTGACTTCTTCCTGAGTGCTTTCCCTGATAGATCTCAGCCTTCCTTCCATTCAGGCAGACGATGGTCCATTTAGCCCAGTTTTGTCTCTATTGACCCTCAGAAGCTTTTATGCAAATATCGTTTTCCTACCACCTGCTGCCAGATCCTTTTCACTGGAGATACCTGCCATTTGGCCTCTGGGCGTGCAAAACACAGTGATCTCCTGCCTGGCTGGGCCTTCTCTCCCTGTGAGCCTTTGAGAAGAGATTAGAATCAGACCACACAAGGTTGCCTAGTCCAAATCTCAGGCTCTGGGAATGCAACCAAATTCTGTCTTGCAAAGCAAAAGTTGCCCACTTCTAACCTATGTGTGTATCACTAGTATCTCATCTACCTATTCCCTGTTTCTTTTTTCCCCAGTATTCTGCTGGACGATGAAGGCCATATCAAACTCACAGGTATGCCTTCTCTTGACTATTGCTTGCTAAATGTTTCCTATCTTTACCTTGCTATCGTTCAGCATGCAGCTGTTTGACTGTTATTCACGACTGGTTCTCTTCATTCCCTATGGTTTCCTGCTTGCTTCTCAATGTTCCTTTTTTGTAGACTTTGGCTTGAGCAAAGAAGCCATTGACCACGAGAAAAAGGCGTATTCTTTCTGCGGAACAGTGGAGTACATGGCCCCAGAAGTGGTTAATCGACAGGGGCACACGCAGAGTGCCGACTGGTGGTCATACGGTGTGTTAATGGTAAGTTTCTTTATAATACTCCCCAGCTCAAAAGCTTTCAAAAGGGGTGAACAACAATTTTCTTTTTAAAAAATGAAATCAATAAAACAATATACAACTACCACTCACAGCCTGTGGTGAAGGTTTCTGGGAGTTTTAGTCTGGGTACGCAGTTAGGGGGAAAGGCACAGTAAACCTTCATCAAACTTCTGAAAGTTCATATTCTGGTTGGCCAAGTTTAAGATGGCCATGTACCATTCAGAAGAACGGCTGGATGGCACTGCAAGGGTACAATTCTCACACATACAAAAGAATCTTGCATCTTTATCACTATCACAGTGTAGACTCTCAGATCCCCTTTTGACTGAAGTCTCCTGCCACCTCCGCTTCAGTCATTGCTCTCAGATTCCTGATGTGCCTTGCAAGATCAAACAAGAGACAGAGTTGTTTATAATGTAATACCTGTGAAGAGTCGTCTCTGCTGTCCACAGTGAGACCAGAGTATCAACAGGAATCCCATTTCCAGTCATGCCAACTAGAAATGCTTCAAGAGGAGCCACTGGCCTTCAAGGTGGACCCTCTCAATCATACACACCTGGCCCTGTATCCTAAACCTTGCTACTTAGTGGTCTGACCTTGACAAAGAAGGTGGAGAAGAAGACCCCCATGGCCAGACTGCTGTCATTTTGTCTTGATGGGAATACCAGTTCCAAAGTGTGTCAGAACAGAGGCATTTTAGGACAACCCATAGTGGTCAGGGAGTCGTAGGATATCCCCAAAAGCACAGCCTTGGCACGATGTTGCAATTCTCTGGGGACACTCCTCCTAGGGGTTCTCAGCATCAAGTGGGTCCACCTCTCTCAGCTTAGGCAGGGAGGCTGTTGAGCGCGCTGTGTCTCTACCTGGGTTTTGGCGGTGTGACCATTTCCAGTAATGGGAGCAAGGAGGGGCGTTTGCTGAATCGGTGCTGCCACCTTGCGGCAATGAGTGTAAAAGTCGCCCTGGCCTTGCTAAGGACATAGTGCGAAAACAGCAAGGCAGAGCTTTGCAGAGATCTTCATGTGGCATAGTCACTGAGGGGACAGGCAGAGGTGGCTGCTGCTCCAGCGAGAAGGAGTGGGCTTTTCTGCCTTCCTGGAGGGTGGCAACAAGGGTGATTTTTGTTTGTTTTTGTGCAGCCGCCATCACTCCTGTTTCACCCACTTGGGCAGCAGGAAAATGCCTCTCTTTCCTTCAAGAGACTGAGGCCATATCCTTCCTGCTGCTCGTGGTCAAGCATCGGTTACTCCCATGTTTGTTCTTTAGCACTTCATGCGGGTGGGCGCTCCTGCCACACTGGGACACCCACCACCCACCCACCCCCGGTAGCTGCTCAGTAGTGTCAGTGCTTTGACAGTGGCCCTGTGGAAACCGATGGACCTCAGCATGGCTTGTTGCACCTATCCGTCGTCTGCCAGATTTGCTCTTTCGTTTGGGTTCATTACACCTGCTTTCTGTGACTGCATTATCTTGCTATTTAGATTATGAGTCGAGATGGGGCAGAAACTGCCGGTTTGGCCACTCGCCACTCGTCCCTCCGATGGAAGGAGGGCTCCGATGGCTCAGAAGCATGCCCGGAGGGGGCAGGGCAGGGAAGCCGGGACGCTGCTTCTGAGTGGATGCCCATCGGAAGGGGGCGGGGTTGTTGGAGCTGCGGAAAAGGCTCGCTGGTGGTGGTAAATGAACCAGGCTGAACGGCTGAGCCAGCAGTTCATGTCCATCTCTAATGATGAGCTCTGTTTGATGTTTGGCAGGTGCTTGCTGAGAAAAGGCGCTGAGCCCCTATTCACGTCCGTTTGTTTTGTTTTTTGTGTTTTCATCCTGCTCTTCTAAGGAGCCAGGGTGATGTCTTTAGTTTCTCTCGCTCTCTCTCTCTCTCTCTCTCTCTCTTTATATTTAAGCATGTCCCGAGAAATGGGCTCCTTGCAAAAGTCTGGCAGCTGAGGATTTATGATGTGCTGAGCACACGAGGCATGAGGGCAGGGTCAGTTGGCCCATCACGTCTGCTGTTCGAAGTTTCTGAATGTTATATGTTGTCTCTGGACTCAGCTGGGACCTCAAAATTGTTTACAATAAAAAGCATATAAAATACATCTAAACAAATTGAATTCTACAAAAAAAATCAAATAAAGGGCAGTGTATAGAAAGCTGTCCCTAGGATTCTATGGTACCTACTTATGATATGGCTGCTTGTTGTTTTTTTGCAGTTTGAGATGCTGACAGGGTCCCTGCCATTCCAGGGGAAGGACCGGAAGGAGACGATGACGCTGATTCTCAAGTAAGGCCCCATGGCTTATTGGCAAGCCGACCTGGCTAGGGCTGGTCTTAAGCCAAGCCACCCTTCAAGAGTTCGTTCTCTTTCACGAGACAACGGGAGATGGAGGGCATAGATCAGGTTTTATCCAGTGCCTCTATATGTTCTGTACTGTGTACGTCTCTATTTTTATTATAGTGTATTTATCACTCTTTTGAAGTCTATTGTACTCTCTGGCTCATTCTAACTTTTGTTTACCCATCTTAAATGGTGCTTAAGCACCAGAAGGATGACATATAAGTTTTCATATCAATATAAACTTGTAAATAAACAAAAACGACTCCCCCATTGCCTGTCCCCAGTCATTTAGTACCACATCTGATGTCATAGACATTCTTCGTGAACAGTTTTCTTTTTTGGACTAGACAAGGGATGAGCTAAATAGGGGAGGGAGAACAGATGAATTTGATCTGGCTGCTGGAGCCTTCCGCACTTCCTGGAAGTTGTGTCCATTCTTGGTTTGGTACTAAGTCTTTTCTGCCATTTCAACAAGGCTGTTTTGTCCTGTGCAAATGCTGGAGCCTCCCCCCCTCTCTTTTTTTTAAAAGCTGCACTAAGGAGGGCAAGTCTGTTCACAGATTGGGGCACAGAGAAGGGCACCTCTTCCTTGCTTCTTTCTTGCCGACTCCCGACGGGTTACACCATGTCTGTTTTTGCCTTTTGTGCAGAGCAAAGCTGGGCATGCCCCAGTTCCTGAGCTCTGAAGCACAGAGTCTCCTGCGAGCCCTTTTCAAGAGGAATCCTGCCAACAGGTTAGGTAAGACGCCCTCGCTTTTGCTTGCTTTGTGCCCAAACAGGTCCACAACACAAAAGGGCAGCACACGTGGAATCGAGAGGTGCGTTACAGCTCCCAGGAGGATTGCTGTGTAGCATAGAAGAGCTAAAGATGGGACAAAAATTTTTCCACTCCTTTTGTAAAAGTAAAACTACTCTGGATTTTGAAATGAGGGATGTGGGCAACACCACAGAAGCTGAAGGGGTCGTCCACAGAGGACACTTCCCTCTTCCTGCCCCTGCGTCAGCACAAAACTGAAAGTTGTTGCATCAGCAACACCATCTCGTATGACCTTATCCTGATCTTCTCTGTGCCTACTGTTGAAACTACAATTTCCATGTGGATGGCAGAGTGGGGGGCACTGAGGGATGTTTGGTAGTGGCACCATTTGGCTGGTGCATTTTCTTCACACTAACAGGCAACCAGTGAAAATACCAGCTTCGGATAATGCTTTCAGAGTATCCAGCGCGGTATAATGGATAGAGTAATGTATTATATATTAGTATTAATATAATAAATCATGTTAATATATGCTAACAAATGTCAGATATTAAATTCCTTTTAATGCAACTTCCTACCATTTTACTAGTTTGTTTCTGATGTCCATGGGTGTAAAGAAAGTGCAGAAAAATGCCTGCTCTCAAAATCCTTTGTACCCCTATTCCTGGTAATCACATGGACTGTTTTTGAGACAGATAGACGATGGTTTCAGGGATAACAAAAGAGTGCATTTTTGCCCTCAAGCCCTGCCATTGAGTCATTGGGCAAGACTGCTGTGGGAAGTAGGACACTGGATTAGGCCAGAGCTTGGAAACTGGTTGTGCAGGCCAGGGGATTTTGTGAGCTGGACTTTAGTCTTATCTGGCAAAGCTGCTCTGAGAGGGAGTTGGCCCCTCTCCTGACTTCAAGATGTTTCAGAAGGCATTGCTGATGCGTGTCCTTGCAACCATAAAGACTAGGAGTCTAGGACATTGCACACATACTTCCCCACACTTAAAAGTAAGCTGTGAATCCCAGAATCACATTAAATAAAGTACAGATGTGTATGTGTGCACATGTATGTATGGAACTGCAATTCACACTCCATGAGCACCCTGACTTGTCCTTTGGAGAGTGTGCGTACGTACGTACGTACGTACGTACGTACGTACGTACATACATACATACATACATACATACATACATACATACATACATACATACATACATACATACATACATACATAGAAGCAATCCAAAATGGTTTATTTAAACCTTGCAGGTTCTGGTCCAGACGGTGTTGAAGAAATAAAGCGTCACCCTTTCTACTCCACCATTGACTGGAATGTAAGTATTGGCCTTCTCCCTCTGCTAAGCACTTACCTCTGTCTTGCAAGATCTTAATATTCACACTAGTAACTGGCCATGGTGCCGGTGCATTTTTAAAATTTGCTGCCAGCAGCTTTTGTCAATCTGGAGTCTCTCAGGCACATGTACATTGCATCCCCCAGAATCGGTTCCCCCGCTCCCAGCCGACCCCTGTGTACTGGCTGGGGGAATTCTGTGCTCAAGAGTCCAACCTTAAGCTGCAGAAAACGGATGTAGAGAATAAACGGTGGCAGATGCTGGCCGGCGCCTGGTATTTCTTTCAGGGAGAAGACACCACAGTTCTCTGCCCAAGAGGCGGTTTCTGAGATTAACTCTGCAGAAAGCGGCTACCAGTTTGGGGTTCACAGGCTACGATTCCTGCCCGTACACAAATCTGCCCTTAGAGCCAGCCGAAGTAGAGGCCAGGTTCTCTGTGTGAAGTGGCATACCTGTCTCTGGACTGTACCACATTCCTCTCCAGAGGAGGGCAAATGGAGTGGAATGCTTCTTTGCGGAAAAACATTCCCTTCATGTTAAAACCCTTCAAAATATACCAAGGAAGAAGCCTTGGTTAGAACCCTTTTCTCCGACAAGCTAGGTTTTGTTTTGCTCTTGCTTTTTAAAGGAAGGGATGCATTTGTGCAGAGGACCATTCCACCATATGAGCTTCTGCCTGGAATTCAAAATGGTGTAGTCCAAACATATGTTTGCAACCTGAGGAAGAGCTAGGCTCCTGGGTGGGATTTTGCTCTACTCTTTTCCATCTGGAATTCTTGATACAGTACCTCTTAATCTTTTAAGGCATTTTCCCTTTTCTTGATAAAATGTGATTGTCGTTCTGAGCCATTTTTATTTTGTAGAAACTCTTCCGCCGGGAAATCCCACCACCTTTCAAGCCTGCCGTGGGCCAGCCAGACGATACTTTTTACTTTGACAAAGAATTCACCTCCCGCACACCTAAAGGTTTGTAGGTTTGGACTTTTTAAAGAATAAGGCAGTGGCTTTGATCTAACTTAAAAACTACCTGCCTTATTCATAGGAAAGGGGTGGGCAGAGAATACATTGGGATCTATTAGTAGATTTCTGTCAGGGGGTATAAAATCAGCTCTGGGTCTGGTTTTAGAAGTGTTACGTTTATACATGTTCTTCATTCATTTGCACGTTTCTCTTGGCAGATTGATGCATTATGCTTACACCAGGGACCAGATTTTGGAGTTCACTTTATGCTCTCCCAAGAAAAAAAAAACTTTTGAATTTCAGGACAAAGGTCCTGCCTAGCATCTCATTGAAAGAGTATGCTTTGTTGGATGTCTGGGATGGTTTTATATGAAGAGTCGTGCTCCATTATTCAGTTCTATCCAACCTTCCACCTGAAGTCCTGAAACAACGTTCCAACAAAAGCTGTACCATTTGTTTGCCACACTGATTTCGTTTTTGCCAAAGACCTTGGCAAAAAGGTGCAGTGAACCTTCCTGCAAGAATGGTCAGTCTCTGGCTCTCGACATAGAGCTGGCTTTTCAATGCCCCCCAGCCCCACCCAAGTTGTCCACTCTTCCAGCTATTTCTAGAGTGTCAAAAGTTCCAAGTCCCCATCTTATTGTCTCTTGATTACAATTTCTTGGTGGTACTCTCCTAGCTCTTTCTTGCACTTTGGCAAAGCCGTCTTGATTTTTGGAAGGAATAACAAGCGTCTACTGCTAGTCTGCTCTGTTCCAAGACAGTTAATTTTCATTTTTTCTGCCTGTCCTTTTCCAGACTCCCCCGGGATTCCCCCTAGCGCAGGAGCCCACCAGCTTTTCCGAGGGTTTAGTTTTGTGGCCACCAGCTTAATAGAAGAGGAGAAGGCCAAATCCCCACCAGTGCCTTTGCATTCTGTAGTACAGGTAAGAACCAGTGTGAAAAGGATTGCAAACGCTGCAGTGCTTCCTCTCTGTCTGAAGTACAACTGCACTTAATGAATTTTGTCTTCCCAAATTTGTGACTAGGTTTTCCCCCCAACTTTTGTTCATTCCTAAAGCAAGTCACGACCAGAACATGACTGCCTACCATTTGAAAGGGACACCAGTTGTTTATGAATGAAGGCCACTTCATCACATGCAAGTGATCTATTCTGTTGGTAGATGTGTACATATGCAGAGCTTCACAAAGATTATTTGTGTACCTTCTGTGTAGACCTCTCTGCTGATGTTAAGGCACCATTTGCAACCAATGACGTTGCCTCTTGTTGTTTAGTTGTTAAGTTGTGTGCGACTCTTCATCCTCTAGTCCTCCCCAAAAGCAACAGTCTGTGAAGTGACTTTCAATATGAAGAGGGGTTAAACAGATCCTGCAGTTCAGAATTGTATCCCATTGTATTTGAGAAAGGGACAGAAATGCCTGCAGGCACTTCTGCCATGAAATGTATCATGGCATACAGATGCACCCTCCATTCTCTTTACCCTGTTCTCTTTGTCTTCCCCCAACCTGTAGCAATTGCATGGCAAGAATCTCCAGTTCAATGATGGTTACGTTGTAAAGGAGGCCATTGGCGTGGGTTCTTACTCAGTGTGCAAGCGCTGCATTCACAAGGCGACGAACACAGAATATGCTGTCAAGGTCAGAGCAAATCTCCTTTGTTTTGCCCCATGAACACTAAAGTTTAAAATCTCATGGTTAATTGCAGATTGTTTTTATTTTGACATGCTTACTAGGGAGTGATAGCTCTGCTTACATCCCAGCACTCAAAAGAGTCGCTGCCTTGAGAGATCCAATCCCCAGATCCCAGTGCGCTTAGCCAGTCTTCCTATTGCATTGCAAGGCCTTGAGCCTGGGCTAGGGCAACATACTAACTACACGAACTCAGAAATCCCTGAATTCGAATCTCAATATTACCATACATTTGTTAGGTGGACTATTTGTAATATGTCTCAACCTCAAACTCTGTCTGCAATATATATTAACGATGTGCCATCAAGTCAATTCTGACTTAAGGTGGCCCTTTTCAGCTTGCCCAAGGCTACATAGGCTGGCTGTTCTCCTCAGAGGCAGAGCAAGGAATTGAGCTCCCAACCTCTGGCTCTGCAGCCACATACCGAAACCACTGAGCTATCCAGCCAGCCATCTGCAATATATACTACTATCTTATTCTTGCAGGACTGCTGAAAAGATCATATATCATAGAACTGTAAAACTGAAGGGGACCTAGAGGGTCATCTGTGACTAAATGAATGCAGCATTCATATGCTCAGTTGATACTGCTTTATAATAACGAGCAGTCTATTGTATATCTTGCAGGTCATTGACAAGAGTAAGCGAGATCCCTCGGAGGAGATTGAGATACTTCTACGGTACGGACAGCACCCAAATATCATCACACTGAAGGACGTGAGTGTAATAGTAGAATAGGATTCATCCACTTCCCATGCTCTGGAACTCCCCTTTGGAAATACAAGGCTTTGTTCGCTGAAGGGTGGGTGGGTGGTGTTTAGTTTATCTGTAGAAATGCATGGCAGAAGCATATGAACAAGCATCTCTTCTGACTTGACTGCAATAAATAAATAAATTTCTTCCTTGTGGCTCTTGCTTCGCATAGAGACGGCCTTGGGAAATTCAGAGAAGGCACACAACTGTACACAAGCACATTCTGATGGTGCACTTAACAGAGCTGTGAATGTTTGCTTTAGTTCACTACTAGAGCTGCTTGCAGTGGAAGTGTATTGCTGGACTTATGCACACATTCTGCCATGATCTCAGAGTCTTTGGTTAGAGTGCTTCAGAAGGATGGAGCTTCATCCTCTGTGTTGGTTTCTGTCTCACTGAATGATGCTGAAAAATACTGCAGCATTTTCATATCTCTCTTATAGTGGGCATGTGCCATGGCTATCTGGAATCCCTAGTGTGCCAGCACAAATCTGCATCAGCATGGACCACAGTTTGCCCTTTGTGGCTTCCGGGCCTCAAGTACAGTCGCTTGCAAGAATGGTAGTTTGGATGTAAATGCCAACAAATACACTGGTTATGGGTTTCATGAGTTCAGCTCAGTAACTTTTTGTGAACCTGTCCATAAATATCCATTTGGCAGGTGTATGATGACGGCAAGCATGTCTATCTGGTGACAGAGTTAATGAGAGGTGGGGAGCTGCTGGATAGGATCCTCAAGCAGAAGTGTTTCTCTGAAAGGGAGGCCAGCTCTGTCCTACATACGATTTGCAAAACAGTAGAATACCTCCATTCGCAAGGGGTAAGTATGAGATGGTAACAAAGAGGCCAGCTATGTGGGTTCTCTTTTCCTCTGTTTTTCACCTGTGGAGAAGCAGGTGTTGCCACTTTTGGAGAGGAAGATACGTGATGCTTCTGCACTCAGGGGAGGTGCAACACACTTACCCATAACAGTGCAAACTGATTCACCTGAATTGTTAAGAAAGGTTTAAGAACAGGTGATAAAACATTTGGCTTGTAAGCACTTTAAAAAAAAAGAATGCAGTATAGCGCTGCATCAACAGAAGCACAGCATCCATATCAAGTGAAGTCCAACTTTGGCCCAACCTTTCTAGGAATACTGCATCCACTTCTGGTCACTCCAATTTAAGACAGGTATTTGGAAGTTGGGACATGTCCAAAGAAGGGTGACCAGTATGATAAAGGGCATGAAAACCGAGCCATATGAGGATTGGTTGGGGCATTAGATATGTTCCCTGGTGAAGAGAGGACTGAGGGGTGAGCCATTTGAAGGGCTTCAGAGGGCTTGTTCCCATCCGGTTGTCACACAAAGGTAGCCAAACAGCTGCAAAAGACAGAATGTTTTTAGTGGTGACGTCTTAAACTCTATATGGACAGCGGCTGGACTCCATCCCTTTCTGCTGTTAGGTATGCCCTGAAAGATTTATCCAGAAAAGACTTTTAACCATTTGTGATCTGCTGTTTAGAATTCTTCTATTTCATTCAATATCTGATAGCTATTTTTGTGGTTTTTTTCTTGTATGTTACTTTTGCAAGCTAATTGGGCTGTTTTGTAAAAAAGAAGTGGAATACGTATAAATAGCTTGTAATGATATATGTGAACTCTAGAGATGGAGCGGTTGCCCGTACTTTACAGGGCAAGGTATAGAGATGACCTGCGGTTTCTGCCATTGCCTTCCCAGGTGGTTCACAGAGATTTGAAACCTAGCAACATCCTGTACGTAGATGAGTCTGGTAACCCAGAGTCTCTGCGTATTTGTGATTTTGGCTTTGCCAAGCAGTTGAGAGCAGAGAATGGGCTCCTCATGACCCCTTGCTATACTGCCAACTTTGTGGCTCCAGAGGTGAGTAGCTCCTGAGCCTGTCATTATGAAATTCCTCTTGTTGTCTATAAAACAAGCTATTCCACCGCTTCATGTGATATCTGCTTGCAGGTGTGGAGACCTCCAGCAGACCTCTTCAACACTACTGGTTTTAAAAGTGTGGGTCAGAGAAACACTGGGCGTCTTTTGTTTTCTGTCCTTCCTAGCAAGAAATGAAATCATTCTTGTCACCCCAGCTTTCTACTATTAAGCAGTTTCCAGTTTGTGATCACCTTTTGTGACCTCTGGCTGGCTTCTTTCTATGGCACAGCACCTGGTCTGTAAAAAAAAGAAGAGCCCCCTCTGAATTGTTACAAGCAGGGATTCACAAACTGACTTGAGATTGGGAAATGCAACCATGGGCTCTAAGTCTTGCCGTTGGTGGCAAGGTTTGAGCCAAGTTCCAAATCAGAAGTTATGGAATTTGCTCTCACACCTCTTTCTGATCTTGAAAAGTTTGGAGATAGAGGCTATCATGAAATGAACGTAAAAGTGGAAACCTACTGTCCAAGGAGGAGGAGGAAGCAGGTTTTCTAAAAGCTCGTCCTAAGTTTACAGCAGGGATGGGGCAAAGCTACCTAGAGATTTTTAAGTAGAGGGAAGATGGCCACCTGCTAGGGATCCACTAGGTCTTGATTTCCTACTTCAGGAGTGGGGTGGAGTGGGAGATCCTTAGAGTCCATTCCAGCTCTAAAGGTTCCCCTTGACATTTAGGCTAGTCATGTCTGACTCTAGGGTGCGGTGCTCGTCCCTGTCTCTAAGCCGTAGAGCTTGGAGCTACATTTGTCCGTAGACAGTTTCCATGGTCACGTGGCCAGCACGACTAGACATGGAACACCGTGACCTTCCCACCGAGGTGGGGCCTATTTATCTACTCACATTTTTCATGCTTTTGAACTGCTAGGTTGGCAGGAGCTGGGACAAGCGGCAGGAGCTCACTCCGTCGCGTGGATTCGATCTTATAACTGCTGGTCTTCTGACCCTGCAGCACAGAGGCTTCTGCAGTTTAACCTGCTGTGCTACCACGTCCCAGCTCTATAGTTGTGTGATTCTACCTGCAGATCATATGGTGCAGCAGACAATTGACTTCAGTGCGTTCTCACCACTGTTTTGTATCTGATTTTGGTTAGTGGACCTTGAAAGTATTTGTGACAAAAGATGAGTGAACACATACATGCTGTATTAGCTATTATTACACTAATGGGAGTCATAAACCTTTGATGACCAACTACAGATCATCCAAAGATCCAGCAGTAGATCCTGATCTACTTCAGACCTCCCTTGGCCTACATGACCCCTGTCTTCCAATCACAACCCTGGTGAAAATGGCCCATGAGGACCAAGACTCCAAATCTAAAGTATAGGGTTCAGGACCCAAGTGTAATACAGACCAGAGAATGAATGCAAATAATAGATTTTCAGTGTGAGATTGTAACTAAATTCTAAACTAAATTCTAAAAAAGAATTTAGTTCCCTGTGGTTCTGCTTTGTTCCAGATCATTTTGGTCTCTCTGTGTGTCTGTTTGCTCTCCATCTGCCCAGAGAAACATTTTGCCTTTCTCTAAAAATGAAAAGTATGTATGTGTGTGTGCACAGACACACATAGTTGCTTGCTAGATAAGTTCACATACAAATTGATTTGTGGAAATGGACCAGGCCTGATGCTTTCTTGATAGATGAGCAATTTTCGTTGAATCCTCTTAGTCATATAAAATGTTGGATCATATCATGACTTTTGCATTGCAGATCTACGATGTGGCAGAATTGTAATGATTATGCTTCTTAGCAAATATAACAGTGAGTTGTTTTCTAGACTTGTGGACTCCCTTATGCCCCAGTTAGAGTGGGCTGAGTTTACTTTGCTACACTGTCCATGGAACTTCTGGCAACAACTCTGAGTTGGGTGTCCCGGCCATTCCCTTTAATCACCAGCATAGAATGGTAAATTCAGGTTAAACTGAATTTGTGAATTTCCTAAATCTCTCTAGATTTGGGGTTTTGTGTGTTCTCAAGCATCCTGTTTTGGTATGTGGTGCTTAGTTACTCAAAGCAGATTAATTTATTTACGTTGTTCTATTCAGTGCTTTCCTTTGGTTTTAAATCCAGAGAAACAAGCAGGAAAAATCATGTCCTAAATTTTTGTCCACTTTTTATCAAATTTTATCATATTTTTCTCGGGAATGATACTCAAGATTCCCTGGCTTCTTTTTCTTGGCTCTCTTCTCCTCTAGGTTTTGAAACGTCAAGGCTATGATGAAGCCTGTGATATCTGGAGCTTAGGGATCCTCCTCTACACAATGTTGGCAGGGTAGGTGCAGCATCCATTTTGTTTGCTTTACAGATCTATAGGTGTACAGTATTGCATTTTGTTCCCCACATCTTCTTCCAAGGACCTCAAGGAAGCACAGGGGGTCCCCTTCTACCTATTCAAACTGAAAGGCCTTCTATTCGAAACAAGGTCTTCACAAAGTAACAGAAAGAACAACTTAAGCACCAGGCACTTAAAGGAGGACATTTGGAAACCAAGTTGCCACCACTAAGAAGGCCTTTCCTCTACTAGCTCTCCATCTCTTGGCTGAACCAGTCAGAAAAAAGAGTCCCTGAGGACTATGGGGAGGCATCTCTGGGAGAAGACAATCTCTCATGTAACCTGACCCCAAGCAGGTGGTTTTAAAGATTAATCCAAGTACTTTAAATTGGACCCAGAAAGAGATTGAAAACCAGTACTGATGGTAGAGCATGTCCAGTTGTCCAGTTTCAGTTAGCAATCTTCAAGAGCCAATTTTGGTTCAGTTCCAGACCATTTTCTAAGACAGCGTTACACATAGCATATTCTAGTAAATGGAATGAGATTACTAGGGTGTGGATACAACACAAGGTGACAAGATCCATTTCTTTGGGTATAGACTGCCTTCGAGGCACTGCATGAATTCCAATCTGCTTCTCTTTGGCAAGCTTGCTGTAGCATGAGTCTTCCTGCCAAAGGAATGGGAGGCATGCCACACCCTAGGGTAGGGTAGCCTAAAGCTGGTATTAACACTAGATGGCAGCATTTTCTTTAAATTCTCAAAAGATATTTCTGTGCCTTGTGTTTCTTGGGGCACCCCTGATAGCAAGGAAGAGGGTGGGTTGGGGAAGATGATTTACACAGATGGGTGGCAGGGCAGTGGCAACTCTTGAAGAGCTGCTTAGCCCAAACTCACTAAAAGGAGAAAGAAGCATGGCCACTAAACATGTAGGTGAGGGAGTAGCTGTAACGATACTGGGCCATGTTAAGCAGAGACTTCAGTCAACCATGTAACTTGCAGGAAATGGCCTAAATGCTCAAGGAACCCAGTGGTAGGTTATACCGTTTAGTGTTCCAGATGAAAAATTAAGAAGCGCTTTCTCATGACATCTCTTAACTCATTCTTCTTCAGAAAAACTGGAATTGCCTCCATGTAATGCCTAGGTAATCTTCTGTGTAGTAGCTTACAGAGGCAGGACCATGTACCCTGAGTAACAGAATGGTATTATGTCTGTTCTTCAACCCTTCTGAAGGATTCACTTTATCCAGAAGCAGTTTCAAATAATTGTGTGCCCAGCGAAAAGAGGAAATGCATTGTTATCCTGGCATCATAACTGGACAGATAGAAATACTAAAAAACCTGGCACCATGTGCCTCCTCCCACATCAGCCTTCCTGTTCATATAAATCTATACATAAGGGCATGCTGATGGTTCTGTTGCTTGCACATGTACAGCGGGTGGTAAACAAGATGAAGGCCTGTTGGCTGTGGTAGATCACCTTTGCAGTTCCCTCCGTCTGTCCCACTATCACCTTCTCTAGCCAGCAATACCCATCCAGAGCCTCAGAGATGCATCCCATCTCTTTTTAACTGGAGATGCATTTTGTACAAAATAGTCCAGGGATATATAGAGGTGGGCAAGGCCATTTTTTAAATCTCAAAGCCGCCTTTCTTATGTCCACTATTTCAGCTTGTCAAGTAGGTTAAATTTATGCAACCCAGGTTGACTTTCTGTATTTCAACCTTCCACAGAGACAAGCTTGTCCTGTGGCCAGATGCCTTGTTTGTTCCAGATGTGATGCCACATTTCCACATCTTTCAAGGTGTAGGTAGTCCAGTCATCCATTCCCCATAATCTGACTTCCATTCACACTCTCAGTGTGCATCAGCTCTGACTGTCTACTTATAGTGTATATCCTAATTCCTCAAACTCCCTCACCTTTTTGTTTATTAAGGCAAAAGGAACAAAGCCCTTTCTCCTGTCTCCTCACAGGGATTTGCCAAATGGACAGTTAGTAGTTTTTCACTAGCCTATCAGCTAGTGAATTCCCCAGTGCCTGACTTTATGAGGAACTATTCAACCAAGCCTGTGGCAGCCTCTCAAGTCTTCCACATGGTTTATCCTCACTTGAAACCTACTGTGTCCCTACATGATTCTGGACCTCTCCTTTTCTGAAGCACTGCAGATTGGGCATCTGGGCTAAAAACGATGGCTCCTTTAGTCATGCGGTCTTCTCTTGGTAGAGTTCTCCCTCCCACCCCATCCTCCAGCAGGTGAACTTACCAGTCACCCACGTGTGAGGTGAAGAGACCCCAACAAAGAGGAACAAGTCACACACCTGTGACTATGCTTCTTCTATAGGTCAACTGTGGGCTCACACATTGGGTCCTCCTCTCCTTGGTGCTCAAATGCATGTTTTCATTTTAGTGGCAGGCTACGAACTGAGAAGGATGGGCAGGTTGCACCAATAGATGTACAGTGGGAGGCGGGGAGGTCCTGCCAAAGGGACTGGTCAGACACAGAATGTTCCATGGGGATCTCTGTGCAGGGGCAAGATCCCTTTGTGCCCAGATAGCCACTCAAAGATCTATAGGTAAGCAAGCTGTCCTCGGCTTTCAGACAGTGGGTCCTGCTTATACATTTTTCTGAGAAACATGCCTTTTTGGAGTCTTTGGCTCCTTTTTTATTCATGTAAGCAGGGGTTTTCTACATGGCCTCTGCTGATATGGTCTACCCAGAATCATATATTTCTTAAAGATAACTACTACCAATACATTATTATTAATCACTCTAAAATTAGAACAAGTAACTTGAAGCAACCTGTACCAATTTTTTTCCATTCCTAACCAATCGCTAACAGACTAGACCGTATGAGTCAGCTGTATAATGCAACACATTGTCTAATTGCACAGCCATGATTATAATGAGTTACAAAATCTTCTAGTACATAAATATTGGCCAGTTCTGTGTCAAAACTCCATTTTTGTGCATTGTTTTTATATCAGAATGTGTGTTCAAAAGTTTTTTAAAGCAAAAGTAATACCTGCTAAATTCTTCGCTAGGAATTTAGTGGATTTTCTGCAAGGTAAGGATGGGTGGCTAAAGCAGGACCATCTCTTCCTTCCCTGCCTGCGTACTGTGGTTTCTCCTTCTCCTCCTCTTTTCCGTCTGGTGTTATGATATGGCAGCTTAAAAAAATTCCCCTTGCAGGTACACTCCATTTGCAAATGGCCCTAACGACACTCCTGAGGACATCCTTACTCGGATAGGTGGGGCAAAGTTTTCCCTCAAAGGTGGAAATTGGGACACCGTTTCTGACACAGCCAAGGTAAGCCTTAGTATTTAAAGTTCAAGGCGAAGATGGGAAGTTAACCCCATCCTGCTCCCGTCTGTTAGAAATTGACAGAGGGAAAGGCTTGGTATTTCTGGATTCTGGCAGCATTTCCCAAAGGAAAGGGCCTCTTGCACTGAACGATGACTTGTCCCCCTCACTCCATCTATCTACAGCAGGGCTGGGGAACCTAGGCTGTTGAGCTACCACTCTCATCAGCCCCAGCCAGCGTAGTCAAGGCCCAGCTGTGATGGCAGCGTTTGGATGGTACAGGTTACCTGGTCCTGCTGTAGAACTACTTGTCCTCTTCAGCTCTCTGCAGAATTTTAATGTGGACTCTATTCCCTGGAACAGAACCAAGGATTTCTGAGAATGGCCAATGATCTTATTGGTTATTTACACTGGCATAAGTGCAGTGGCTTAAATTGCAGCAGCAAACTGTTAACAAGTCACCACTTGTATCCCACATCTTGCAACAGCTGTACAGCTAGGGCCAGACAAGTGATATAAGCAGCAACTTGTTATTTATCATAACTAACCAGTAAGATTCTGGCCACTGTTTCCTTGGCTATACATTCTTTTTTGAAATCCACAAGTAAGATTTCTTTTCAATACCCATGAACAAGATTTTTAGATAATATTTTCCAGGCTCTAGACCCTGTTCTGTGTATGACATGTGTGGCTTTCCCTTGTGTTGCTGCCATGCTATTACTGCTCCTGACCTATTTTCTGCTACTGCTTCTCTCTGTTCTTCCCTCCATCCCTCAAACAAGATGATGCAAGCACCCGGTGCACTGATATTGGGTGAGATTGTGCCCTCATGTGAAGTAAGCACTCTTTGTATAATGGGCAGCTGTCTCTAAATAAACTTTGAATGATAAACTCTGGTTTCAGAACAAGCTCTTTGCACAGAACATGGTCTAAAACATGAATTAATCTGGCTGATCAGTTAATCAAGCTGATGCCTTCCAGATGTTCTGGAGAGTTCCCATCATGCTGCTCCTTAATAGTGCTGCCTATAGCTGATGAGAAGTGCAGTCCCGAAGATCTGAAGGCCAGTGAAGTGGAAAGCTGATAGTGTCATGTATTTTCTGTTAACAAATGGAGATAAGAGAAGTCGATTACTAACATGCTTCAAATGATCTGGTGCTTTGGGATTCGATTGTTTTCCTAACAGATGCCATATTTGCCAGTGTGGTGAGAGATATTCTACTTTGGGGTGGGAAAGATTTGAGGGCTTGAGAGCCTAATTCAAATCCACAGCCCCAACCAAGGACTCTAGCAGGCCCAGAATTGGCTGAAAATTGCCTTTTTAAAATAAAAACCAATCAGGAAGCATCTAAGATGTGCCTTCCAGCTTGAGTTGGAGGGATTGATGTAAAGGAATCCTGGGGGACCCCTCCAAAGCCCAGGAGCAGCAGATAACTGCTTCTAGGGTCTATTTTGGCCACATCAGGCCATGCTTTTCTTTCTAAAGCACTGTTTTGGTTTTCTCATCTTTGGCAGGCTCTGGGGTGGTCCTGAGGGCTGAGGAAATGCCAGTAGAAAGGCTGCCTTTTGCCCATTCCTATTTCCCCCCACATGCACACACACACACACACAGAGTGCCATATGTGGTGCTCTAGATGTTGTCAAACTATACTCCCATCACAGCTCATCACTGATTCTGTTGGGATAGGGCTGATGGGAGTCCAGCAGCATCTGGAGGGATTACGCTTTGGAGAGGAACAAGGTTCCATACTTAACAACCCAGCTTATGGCAGGCAGACCACCAGGTCAGATGGTGAGATCATTAGCTTAGTGTAGCCAGTGGCTTTTAAAAAATACTAGATGGCCTAAGTCTTCAGTCCAACACGTGACTCTCCAAACCAGGTGGAGAATCACATTTTTCCATTTGAGGAAAAAGAAGCTTATAGCAGCTACCTATTTTGCATGTTCCCTGCAGGATCTCGTATCCAAGATGTTGCATGTTGATCCTCAACAGCGCCTGACTGCCAAACAAGTCCTTCAACACCCATGGATAACCCAGAAGGACAAGCTGCCCCAGAGTCAGCTCACTCACCAGGATGTACAACTTGTGAAGGTAACAGGGGTTGGGTTGGGAGGGGCCTGTGTACCTCCTGGGATAGCAAACAGATTGACCACAGAAAGGTCTGCAGCACTTTCCTTACTTCCCTCCACTTCCTTCCACTACAAGCAGTCGGTAGCTTCAGGATCTTGTATGTAAAGATGCTTATTTCTGAGCCAAAAGGGGCCCTCTGAAATAGAACATGTTAACTACTTTGCCTCATCGAACAGATCTATCAACTATTTTTGGTGCCTTAGCCAGTGAGAAGGGGGGGGGAATAGTTTGTCAGAGTACATGCTTTGCATGTTAAAAGTCCCAGGCTCTGTCTCTGATATCTTTGTTTAAGAAAAAGGCTCTTAGGGGAAAGCAGCTGATGGGCAAAACTCTCCCTGATTAAGACTCTGGAGAGCCACTGCTAGAGGAGATAATACTGAGGGGCAGAATGATAAATAATTTAACCTGCTGTTTCTGTGTTGTATTGCCCCATATTTTTGTGTTTTCTTCAAAGTGGCTACAAAAGTGCAATAGACGTACATTACATGAATCCTGCATGAAAACCAGGAACAGCAGCAGTTACTGTGGTTCCTCTGGAGTGGGCATACATTGTCTCTGAATTGTCTTTGCCATGAGAAAATATCTCACATTGTTTGACAGCAGTGAGAAGATACGTGTATATGTGTACTCCAAGCCCTGGTAATGGCCAAAATCCTGTTGGCAAAACGATGTCATCAGCGGGGGAAATTTGCATAAAATAAACGCTTCCTACTTCTATCTTGTGGCTCGCACAGATCCTGTATAATGCCTTTCCCCATGTGGAAACCAGGGAGCAGCAGGATAGATGAAGGAAGCCTTTAATTACCAAAAATCAGCACCGTGGGATGACATAACAGGCAGGGAAAACTTTCCATGATTAAGGAATTCTTTCTTCTGTCCCGTAGTTCCCAAGGCTTCCACACATTGAAGGATTATATGGAAGCCATGGGGGCCACAGGTCATCATTAGGAAGTGTTTAATTTCCAAATATCACCCCCTGCCTTTATCAGCCTTCCACAGGCATAGTTATGCCAACAAGACCTCGGCCAGTTGAAAACTGTGTATATTTGCTATTACTAGTTTGGTATTTGTTTCTTTTAACCAAATTGCACATGATTACAAAGTTTCCAATATAAAGCAATTCTATACATGGAAATGAAGATGGAATGAAATTATATTGGATGGATGGCTTTCTTTACAGGTTGACCCCTGGACCTGGAAACACACTAAGATGGCTACTGTAAAACAGGACAGCTATGTCCTAACTATGTAGCAGTATCATCAAGCAGAAAACTAATACCAAAGTGCATCAGGAATGCAAAAATACAAGGAATAGGCTTCCCCATCTCAGTCCCTTGTCCTCAAGCATAGGCTGCTGCTCTCTTGAAAAAGACTATTTTGCAAATACATGGTTTGCAGAAAACCAATTCTGACCCTAAAGTTTCCCTGATTACACTTATCTTAACTATGTCAAGCATTTTTGGGGGGCTTACTGAAAAAGGGAAGAGTGCAGTGTTCTTTCCTCTCCTTTATTTCACATTCAAAACTGGGCCTTGGATGTGGCTTCCTCCTTTATATGTTTATTCCTCTTAAGCAAATACTCATGCCCCTGTTTTTTTCCCAGGGTGCCATGGCTGCCACATATTCTGCATTGAACAACTCCAAGCCAAGCCCCCTGCTGAAGCCCATTGAATCCTCCTTCCTGGCACAAAGGCGAGTCAAGAAGCTTCCATCTACTACATTGTGACCTGGAAATGCTCCCTCCAACTATCCACACATACCAGTGCTGCTTCTCTTGACTCTGCACGAGCCTTGCCTGGATTTCAGGGAGGCAGAACCCATCCCAGCAAGACAGCCGTTTTGAGGCATTTTCTCAAATGCATATCAGGGCCAAGTGCCTTTGGAAAGAATTGTTCTTGCTCTCCCTGTGGATTTTTCTTGTTTTGTTTTTTGTTTTAAGTGTATAGAGAGACTATTTGTAAAGGGTTGTGTATAGGCGCAAGAGTTTATGGCTCACTGCCTGTCACACAGCCAGTTTCCTCCACCTGTGAACAACCAAGTTTTGGACAAGATGATGCTTCTACAATCCAAATCTGGTACAGCTGGAATAATGTTCATTTTGCCCTCTCATCAAAGTCACTCCAACAGAGGGTTTTATTTTTCTCTTACTCCCTCTGCCTATTCAGATACTCTCCCTTTGATGTAATCTATGACATCTCATGTGCACAAGCTTCTTTGATTTCACATTCTTCATCTTTCAAGCAACATGATCGCTGTCCAAGAGATTTTGAACATCATTTTTCTCCCCTCTTTCCTTTCTCCTTTGGATATCACATTATTATGGACACACTCACCTGTAATGCCAGAATTATTACTAATTTTCAACATCCTTGAATCCAGTGACTAATGCCAGTGACTAATGCCAGAAATATCTAGCTTTTGAACATGAAATGTTCTTGTAAGAAAACTGTTTTTCCATGGGGAAGATATCAGGTTTTCTAGGTGAGAGGGTTGTCTTTTCTTTTTAAAAATTCTGTCCAGATAGCACAACCCAGAGCCTCATGATGCAGTGCAAAAAAATCAGCTTGGCTCTGTCTCTTTTTTTAATTTAAATGATTCTGTGGCTGGTAACTCAGGGTTTCTGTCTGAATTTTCAAATAAAACAGATGCAGTTGAAGAGGTTTTACTGATTATCCTTGTACTCACCCATCCATCTTTGTTGTACTCCAGGTCAATGGTTCTCAATCTTTGGTCCCCAGATGTTGACCTCAACATCTAGAAGCTCCATATGACTAGGGATCAGGGATTGTGGGGTTTGTAGTCCAACAAAATATACGGACCAAAGGGTAAGAATCACTGTTCTACATTTCTATATTGCATCTGCTCTGTACGTAAGAAGACAATCTGACCCACTCTTACAATCTCTGGCACAGAAAATTCTGTATGTCTTAAAAATCTCTCCTGTTGTAGTTCCGACATGAGAGGGCCTGCCATGATTGTTAACTGTGTGGTTTCCTGGTTCTTTGATGAAAGAGAACAAGAAGAGATATGTTACATCAAAAAGAGTGCAAGGGAAAGGAAGCTTGGAGCTAAGTTTGTCCGTAGACCATTTCTGTGGTCACGTGGCCAGCATGACTACACACAGAATGCTATTACCTTCCCACCGTGGTGGTACTTATTTATCTACTTGAACTTTGCTATTACCTTCCCATGGAACAAGCAACAGGAGCTCACTCTGTTGCGTGGCTTCAATCTTACGACGGCTGGTCTTCCGACCTTGCAGCATAGAGGCTTTTGCGGTTTAACCTGCAGTGCCACCATGTCCCATGTCTCATTAGTTAGCAGTAATTCTACAATTTAATGTATGCACACATAGATCAACAGCACGATTCTGGCATCTGTTAGACTTCTGTTTGCACATTTAGTGAATTTCTTCCAGATAATTAATTGTTGGTGTTGGTTTTTAACATATTAATGTATAGTAAGTCAATTTCTGCCCTTTTGAAAGAAATTTTCACTGCTATGAGTACTACATTTAAAAATTTCAAATTAATGGAATTTGGAAGAGAAATCACAATAATGAACATGGACCAGAAATGCCATGCATGTTTTAAATGCTATTTGCAAGAGAGAGGCTACTTAAGGAGGCTTTTGTTCTTTTTTCAAGTGGTAACCTGAGAGCACTTGATTGATAACTTGCATTTCCATTGTGATCAAAATGTTCAAGACAGATTCCAAAAACTACTATAAAATAAACTTAATGGTACAGGAAAATTGCTGTTAAGCAAAATCTTCGTCAAGAAAAAAAATATAGCCCATTGGAATGCATTGAAAACCTGTCAATGCGTTCCAATGGGGGAAATACCTCATCGTCCAGCGAAGATCGCCCATAGAGAACAGCTGATCAGTTGTTTAAAATCACTGTCTTCCGAAGCAGGGATCTGGAAAACAGCCATTTTGCGGACGGAAGCCATTTTACAAAGGGAAGCCATTTTGTGGAGCCAGAAAAATCGTCGTTTAGCAAACAAACGGTTCGCGAAGCAGGCTCCTAATCAATGTCAAGCAAAAAACCCCCATTGGAACCATCGTTTTGTGATCGCAATAGCGATCGCAAAAAACTCATCATAAAGTGATTTTGACGTCATGTGGGGTAAGCGTCTAGCGGGGCACCACTGTACAGTATAGTGAAGATAAAAGATGTGCATTTCAGGTAAGAACAGTTTGAGATGTTTTGGACTTCAGCTCCCAGAAGCTCAGATACAATGGCCAATGTAAAGAATTGTCAGATATATAGCCAACTATATCTAGAGCAGCAAAGACTCATTCATTTGGCTAAATGGAGGCTAGCATATAACTTTCCCTGCCCCCGTTTTGACTGTATTTTCCTACAGTCAAACTTGGTAAATATTGGCAAGTTCCAGTTTTTCAGATACTATCTGATAATATCAGTTTATTAGATGTACCTAATTATTAGCAGATTCCCTCTGTGGTGTAATTGATAGAGTGACAGACTAGGACTCTGGGGAACAGGGTTCAAATCCCTGCTCAGACATAGAATGGGTAAAACCAATCCTTAAATATCTTACTTACTTTTTATGGTTACTATTTTGACTTGACAGCACAAAACTACTGATGAATGGGTAAAACCAATCCTTAAATATCTTTCTTACTTTTTATGGTTACTGTTTCGACTTGACAGCACAAAACTACTGACGGGCTGGTTTATTCTAACCTAATTATTAGAATATTTATTCTGCCAATGTATTCAGTATATCCCCTCTTTTCTTTTTCTGTTTTCCAGAGGAGGTGAAAAGAAGGTAAATTTTAATTACATTCCGCACTTTACTGGTTGGAGGTGCCCCACATTAGTTGATGTGCAGCTATAGTGAATGGTGAAAGTTACAGTCCACCATGTCTAGAGGGTGCCAGATTGTAGAAGGCTGGTACTAGTACTAAGGGGAGGTATTTTTGTGAAGGATGCTCCTTGGTATCTATATAAGGTACTGTATGATAGGAGGCACCAAGCCAATTGGCCCCAATCTGGAGGCTACTGAAAAAAAGGTATGAGGTTTTGCTACTTTCAAATCTCTGTGATTTTAATGCATAAAGAGCAGTAGAAAGAAGTACATACTAGTATATTCATCCTTGAGAAGAGATTAAGGGGAGACACTGTAGCATTCTTCAGGTTTCTGAAAAACTGTCATGCAGCATATGGAGTAATTTATTCTCTGCTGCTACTTTTACAGCAATAAACTACCGTAGCTGCCCTGCAACTTATTTCTTCTTATGCAGGTAGTACTTGGATTTTATTCTCATCCAAACAAAAGCCCAGGACAACAATACATAAGAGGAGCTTGACACACCAAATACAGTTATCATTCAGAAATGCATATCAAATTAAAGTGCAACTTCAAATAGCCATTTTCCACTCAAGACTTGCCAATAGGCTATCTAATAGCCAATTATGAACAACTTTCACTTTCAGGTGACCACCCAAGGAAGCTTTATAAACATCATCTCTCCATCCTCCTATCCTATTTCCTTTGATGCTGCAAATGATTTTATACAGACCAGGCTACTGAAAGTGTAACAGTCTACATTGTAGGTTGGTTAGGAAGACACAAATGAGAGAAGGAATATAAAATGTCTTATGTGCCAAGTGCCATATCAGACAAGTAAATGGGTTCTAGATCAAATCACATCACAAGCTAAAATGACTAAACTGAGGCTATTGTACTTTAGACATGTCATGAGGAGATTGGAATCATGTGAAAGACAATACAGTGGTGCCTCGCAAGACGGGTGCTCCGTTTAATGATGAATCCACATTACGAGGTTTTTGCGATCGCAAAACGATGTTTTGAATGAGGGAATTTCGCTGCGCGACAATTGGTTCCCTGTTTCAGGAACCGATTTTCGGCTCCCGACGATCAAAACAGCTGATCGTCGGGGGTTCAAAATGGCCGGCGGGTGCTCAAAATGGCTCCCCGCTGTGTTTAGGAGCCATTTTTCGCTGCACAGGCACCCGAAAATGGCCACCCCTATGGAGGATCTTGGCTGGACGGTGAGTTCTTAGCCGATTGGAACGCATTAACCAGGTTTTAATGCGTTTCAATGGCTTTTTTTTTCGCTTAACGTTTTCATTCTACAGCGATTTCACTGGAACAAATTAACGTTGTAATGCGAGGCACCACTGTAATGCTAGGAGAATGGGAAAAAAGGGCAGACCATGAGATGCATTGACTCCATCAAGGAAGCCACAGAAAATCTGAGCAGGGATGTTAATGATACGATTTTTAGAAGTCATTAATCACACGTTAATCGAGCAACATGACAGCACATTAACAACAACAAATCTCAATTGCAAATGAAGCAGACAATGCATCCTGGTATTTTCGACATAGCAGGAGTTCCCTGCTCTGGTTGCATGTAGAATCAGCCCAGCATACTAATTTGTTCCTATGTACAACTATATTCTCACAGCTCGAGGCAGTGGAGAAAGTATGGACATGTTTGTCCAGGAGACTTGCCATTGTTTGTCTCTATTTTAAAACACCCTGTGAATCATTTTCTTGTATTTATAACATTTACAAAGTTTCTGGAGAAAAAAGAAGACAGCATTTCTGGATTGCCACTTCTTTTTCAGTTAGGACATCTGCTCCCTTAATTTTGTTCCATCAGTGTAGTGGCTGGTCTATCTCAATTATGTCAATTAGAGATTCAATACTGAGTTACTGAAGTGAGCTGTTTTTTTCTTTCCTTGGTAGAATAAAGAATCCAAATTGTGGACATATTATTAGACTGCTTTTTGTTGGTTTACAGATGAGAAAACTAGTTTTAATGGAGCCAGTGGGGACAATGCTAGTCAAAAAATAACCACTAATTTTTAAAATATTAAATGTTTATTTAGCTTCTGAGGTCCAAAGATACTTGTATCTCTTCCATTCAACTAATGGTTTGCTGTTACAATCCTGTTCAGTCCATTCTGGCTTTTCTAGATCAGTACATAAATGCACAGCAAGGCAGTATACTTTCAGTAAGTATTGTATCTTGAATTTTTATCTCTACCCAACAGCATGTTCCCTCCTCACTCCACTCCAATTCAACAATTATTACAATGTTCACCAATATCCTAACTATTCAAACTTACTGCTAAGCTGCGAAACAATTAATGGTTGTATTATACAATGTCTATTAACAAAGTAAGCAAATTGCTGAATAATTATAGAAAGAATTTCAGTGTATTGGGTACAACATGTGGACTTGTCTTTTAACATGGGTAACAAGAAGCCTATTATCAAGAAAAGCATATTACCAGAGAAAATAACTTAAGCCCAATTCTACTCAAATACTGTATGTGCTTTCCATCTGAAAAACAAGAAACAATCTCAAAAACCTCAGGTTACCTGGATGAGCATCCAGCTAGATCACTTTGCCCGTAAAAACCTAACTTAGTTTAGATCATACACTGACCTGTAAGAAACACTACCTAAATATGGGGGGTGCGGGGGAGGCCTTTGCAAGAAACAGTATCCTTCAAAAGCTTTTCCTTCAAAAGCTACTGAGAACCAGTTTGGGCACCAACAACTACAGCCTCAGCCCTATGCTACTTTGCATGTGAATACAGTACACTAGTCTGGTGAGGGTTCAACCGATGGAAAGCAAAACAGGTAGTCAAAACATTCCATGAAAACTGTAGAATCATTACTGGATGCCCAAAGCAACCCCTATTGATAAAATCAATTACCTAGCAGACATTGCACCAAATGACATGGAGAGAGAGAGCAGCTAACAGTGAAAGAGTCAAAGCAATCAAATGCACATCCCCTCTTTGGCTACCATCTCACCCTTCCCAGCTTTAAATCAAAGAAAAATAATTTTGGAATGTTTGTGAAACCTGAAGGAACAGGAGAGAATGCCAAGACTATAATGTGGAAAGAAGGAATTCCCACATATCAAAATGAATGGAACCCCAGAACCAAAATCAACCCAGGAAAATGGAGGGGGGGTTGCACCAACACAGTGCTTTGTGAATGTGAAGAACAGAAAAACACTTATCTGTGTACTCTAAGCCCCCTCTATACAAGAGCTACAGAAGACTTTACATTAGCTGCCCTAAACGTTCTTGATGTTGGATACAACTTGTTGGACACAAATTAGTTGATATATTTATTAATTATGATGAGTTTCTGGCATAAGCAAAGAAAGATGAACGTTTCTACTCCAGGTATGACCTGAATGCAGGATTCCATCAAAGGAAGCCACACTTTAGTTCAGATTCATTACTGGACATAATAAAGGTTCATTATGCATAATGCTATAAAGCAGCAGCAAAAGGAGTTCAGCAAAATTTGGAAAATTACTTTTTTTGGACTAAAACTCCCAGAATCCTTCAGCCAGCATTGTCACCTTTGGAATTTCTCAAAAGTTTTAATCCAAAATGCAATACAACTAACAAAAACTGTAACACTCCCAGATTTGAGTTTTTTATATAAACATTAAAGCTAATAGAAGATAGCAACTCAGATGTTTAGTTAAGCTTTTCACTCAGATCTACCAGACATAAATCATTCCTGAAATCTGCCTGAGGTGTAGTTTAATCCATTATTCAAAAAAGAAAATGTCAGTTTGTTGTGACCACGAAACAGGAAAATTAATAAACCACTTGCTTAAGGTTTACTTGAAAGTAGTAAATGCTATAATCTGTAAGAAGTGCAGAGAAGTTGCAGGAGACATATAATTTGGATTTTCAGTAGGATTTGGAATCATTAAAACACTATTTTGCATACATGTACTTAGGGGAGAGAGAGACTGTGCCATGAAGACAGATAGATGTCTTTTATTTACTACATTTGACAAAGTCCTGTCAGAACAAACTGCATTTTTAATAAACAAAGCTCATAATTCAAAAGGTATAGTGTATAACTAGCAACCTGTACTGTCAATAACAAATTACAATTGCACTGAAGGTTAGATGGCAGAATATATACATACAGTATAAGCAGAGAAATACAATATGAGAAGGATACAGATTCTTGTCATTGCTTTTCAATTGGTAATTTAAAAGCATCTTTAGAATAGCGCTTGCTACAAATTACAGTATCATTGAAAATGGGGAGGTTAACAACAACCAATGTGTAAATGATACTAATATCTGACAATTTGCAAGGGTTACTAAATAACATCTTCAGAGTCAATATCTAGTCTAAAAATGAATATTAAGATTATCAAGATAATCAGTGAAAAGCAAGTAACCCAAGAGATCTAAAACGAAAATGTGTTGATTTGAAATGTGGTTGTATGAAGAGTGGGATCATTGTTATTGTTATGTGCCACCAAGTTGTCTTTGATCTATGATGATCCTATGAATGAGTGATCTCCAAAAGGTCCTGTCATCAATAGCTTGCCCAGCTCTTGCAAACTGAATGATGTGGCTTCGTTCTGGAGTCAATCTATCTCACATTTGGTCTTCCTTTCGCTGCATTCATTTCCATTTAGCATCTTTTCCAGTTAGCCAAGCCTTCTCATGATATATCCAAAGTAAGACAGTGCCAGCTTCCTCCTTGTTGATTCTAGAGAGAATTGTTCACCTTTCTGGTGGTCAATGGTATCTGCAAAACTCTCCTCCAGCCCGCTTCAATTAATCATTTTTTCCTGTCAGCTTTCTTAGCTGTCCAACTAACACATCTCTACATAGTACTGTAATCAGAAATACAATGGTGTGGATAATCTTGGCCTGGATCTCCAGGAACACATTCTTACACTTCATAATGTTTTCTAGTTTCTTCATAGCTGTCCTTCCACGTCTCAGTTTTCCTCTGATTCTTGGCTGTAGTCTCCATTTCAATTAAGGACTGAACCAAGATATATAAAATGTACAGCAATTTAAGGACTGGTGGTAAAAACACTCTTTAAATATCTCACTTGCCTTGAAAGCCCTGTTAGGGTTGCTGTAGGTCACTTCCAACTACTCTTAAGTTGCAGACTGCTTTGCAATATTGCTCCAGAATTTTTCCTGGGATTTATTTTAAATATTTTTATCCCATCTTTCTTCTTAAAAAGAACCCAAGGCGGATTGATATAAAGCTAACTTGTCTGCTGTTCCCAGGTACCTCCTTTAAACCTTTTTGGAAAACAGGGACTATGTTAACCTTCCTCCTGTCATACAACACTTCAACCGGCTTCCATTAGTTCAAGAAAATAATTTTCAATACATATCTAGCCCTGCAGATTTGAAGTCATTCAAATTAATAAGGTATTCAGCTGCAATCCTGTCCCTCAACTTTTACTTCATATTTGTCTGGAAGAGCATAGACTGCTTTTGGGGAAACACCTTTTCTTTGGTGTCTGTTATCACTGTTCCATCTCCATTAAGCTATTTCTTTTTTCTGTCCTTTACTATTGATGTACTTGAAGAATGCTTTTTGTTGCTTTTATCAACTCTTGCTAATCTCAGCTCATTCTCAGTTTTTGCCTTCCTACTGCCATCCCTGAAATTGCTACTTATTCATATTCTTCCTTTATGACCTGGCCTTCTTTCTACTTCCTATATATGTTTTTTTTCAGGTCCTCTGCAGCTTTTCGTGAAGCCACATTACTGTAGTCTGTTTTGCTTTATTCCACCTTTTTTTCTTCTTGGAATTCTTTATAGTTATGTCTTTAGAATTTCCTTTTTAAGAAACTCCCACACATTTTAGATGACTTTTCCTGTTAGGATCTCCTTCCATGGGACCTATCATTATTCTGAGTTTATCTTTCCTTTTTAAGAAACTCCCACCCATTTTAGATTACTTTTCCTGTTAGGATCTCCTTCCATGAAACCTATCATTATTCTGAGTTTATTAAAATTGGCTTTCCTAAATCCAGTGTATATATGTGGCTACACTCTGCTTTTGTATTCAAAGAGAACATGGTCACTTTCCACCAGAGTTCCCCTTACTACCACTTTCTCCACCATGTCATGCCTTGTCTATTGGCTAGAATCAAGTAAAGGATAACTACTCTTGTAGTCTATTACTCCACTTTTTGTAGGAGAAAATTATCAGCAATAAAAGCCAGAAATTTCTTGGAAGAGCCATATTTGACAGAATTTGTTCCCCAAAAGATATCAGGATAACTGAAATCTCCCATTATATGTCTCCGTGATTCTTGCATTTTGTTTTCCAAGGTTTCAATCACCTATTCTCCTTGAATGTGCAGTCAGTAATAGTTTCCGACAATCACATTCCTTTTGCTTTTCACCCCAATTATATTAATCCAGACACTCTGGATACATCCTGCTGTATTTTTGCAGGAATATATATTATTGACATATACTGCAAATACACCTCCCTTTCTATACTACTGAACAATTTTTATCCTTCAGTTGCTCTATTCCAGTCATGGGAGTCATCCAACTAAGTTTCAGTTACCCCATTAAGTCCTGAATGAAGGACTAAAGAGTTCCAGTTATTTTTGTTTGTTTCCCATACTTCTGGAATTCATATACAGACATCAGAGATTGTGTGATTGTGTTATTTGTGGCCTGCTCTTGTTTCAAACATTTTTATGAACATTATTACTGGACCCATGAGAGCTGATCAGTCTGCTTCTGACCTGATGGACAATGATTTTCTGGTTTCAAATTAAAAATAACATAAAATAAGCAAATTAATTGTTTATCCTATTTCTCCTAGGTTTTGTGCCAGCTGTTTTAAGCTTGGCAGCCAACTGAAAGTTCAAGTTGAGTCATTCCATCTAGGAAGTATGAATTTTGTGTTGGGACTGGCTCTCCACAAAGTGTCAATCACATTAATTTTAAATTACCTCAATAAAGCCTGGTGTCAAAACGATTAAGGCATGAAGGAGAAAGCACAGATATACACATTTATCTTGCAATTAAGACAAGGACACTTAATTTTGTATCTTCAACCGCCGAGCTTTTGCAAATCTTAAAATATTTGTCTTCTATGCACACTTGTGAAGCATTAACACACATTAGAATAACATAGGTTAACTACTGCTATATAATTCATGAGTAAAAATCCTTATAACAGAGTATCATATTCCATTTTGTGTCTTCAAGATTTAAAAGAAATTGAGTAAGTGCAGAGAGAGAAAAAAGAAATTAAGTTTACTGTATGTACACATTATCAGATATAACTAGAATGTATTAGATTAGTATTATTAATTAATTTGGCCCAATTAAGAACTGTGTGGGGGAATATGAGTAAGTGAAAGGAAAGGTTCTATGAATGTGATTTGTCTTGTTTTCAGGCATGCTTTTGACTACCATGCCAATCTTTCTCCCTAAATCTAAGGCTGCCTCAAATTATCTGAGAGGAGAAACTCCAGACAGCTTGAAGTTTAATCTTCACTATACCCTGACTTGCTTTGAAGAGCAGTCCTTTATGATTAAAAGGTCTATTAATTGGACTATTAAATTATTTTCTATCATTTGCAGAAGGACTATAACAATTTAGAGGAAAACTTACAAAAAGGCAAACATATGCAGAATTTGAAGGTTCCATATGGATCTGAATGTAATTCCTTACATAGCCAAAACAGCACCATCCATGCTTGGGGGAATCTTAGTTTTGTAGAACAATAAAATGTGGGCAAAACCTATAAAGAGTAGAAAGAAACAGCACATGTAGGACTGAGCAAGTCCGTAACATTTTGTTGCAGGTTTCACCCCCACATTTTCAACACCTTCAGTTAATTTATCTGAACTTTGGATGTGAGAGACATTATTAGATCTTGGAGGACTGCTGATGTGTTAAGACAGATAGTAAGGAGCCAGATGGATCATCAAATTGACTTGGCAATTTTCAGTGTTACAAATAAATACCACTCCTAGATAAACACAGATATAATTTAAAAAAATTTAAAAATTAAAAGATGCAGGCAATTGTCAGACACAGAAATTATTATCCATTTTTTCTACAATTTGACATTTACTTAGCACTAAAAGTGTGCTAGGCTCTATTAAACAGGAATTCAGGGAAACATGGGTATTTAACCTGGCAAGATGTTAGCTTAATACTGTACTTCCCTTTTTCAGCATCAGAACAAATAGAGAAGTATTGATAATAATCCTATTTTAAGTCAAGGAAATATCAAAACAATATTTCAATCTGGCAGTATTCCTGTCCATAAATGACTTTTAAGTCAAGGAAATATCAAAACAATATGGCAGTATTCCTGTCCATAAATGATAGATGTAAGAGAAAAAGAAAGCAGCAAAAGGAAAAAAGATTTGGAAAGTACTGTCAAAAACCAGATATTATAGTCTTACGAAGAATGTACATGTAATACATTTTATGTACTGTCAAGTCACTTCCAACATATGGTGAACCTAACAAGGTATTGACGTATATGACATCTTCAAACAGTGGTTTACCCTTGCCATACCCCAGTGAATTTCCAAGGTGGAAGGGCGAATTGAACCTTTGTCTCCCGAGTCCTGAGCTGAAGCTTTCTCCATTGCACCACTCTGCCTCTTGCATATATAATACAGACAGAGAGTATTAACATTCATCTGAATTTGGGAAACCTTCTGCTGGCGATCAGGTCGGAGTGTCTGCCTACGTGGCTTGCTTCATGAGCAATGAAGAGAGGCAAGCAGTTCACCTGGGACATGAAACACGCACACATCGACAGCGCAGTGTTTTCTTTTCCGCGAGAAATGTGCAAGAACCGGCGCCAGGGGGCAGCAAAGGGAGATTTTTTGTTCTCCTCTCTGCAGTTGGGCCGTTTTTCCTCCTGATTGTGCTAAATGCTTATGTACCAATGTTTCCATTTACAAACCCTGCCTCCCCTCCCCCCATCCTCCAGCGCTACTCTGCCGTTAACCCTCTGCGTCGCCGCAGCTTTGCTAGGGAGGCTTTTTTTTTTCTCCCCACCTCCCAGCTGACATGCAGCTTGGTGATGGGATAAATTGAAGGTCT